CTTTAATACTTAATTTTCAGTTCTATGAAATAACATCTTCTATTGAGTGACTGATTCAATAAATTTATTGCAAATATGACAAAAATATAAATGTCTACAAGTACATTATTAAAAAAATGGAATGAACCTAAATAGTCGTAATCTCGCGCTTTGTGCGCGGATATTAATATATTATTTATATAAATTTTGTAAATATATATCTTAATTTATAAATTTAGAAAAAAAATTAGGTAAACCTTTTTTTAAATAAAATGAAAAATAAAAGCATCAATAGTTTATTGACCAAAAAAAATATAAATAGTGCGCAATCAAAGTTTGATTTTTCTACCTAACTTGTTTCTTCTCACTTGTTTTTTTTTTTAAAATAAAATCAAATTTTAAATGATAAGGTCAACATTCACTTAGGTATTTGAATTCTTTAATATATTAAATATTATTTTTTAATCTAAATTAAATAAAAATAAACCATAAAAATTTAGAAAATTAATATATCATAATGAAAGTAAAATTACTTTTAAGTGATTACGTGAAAATATGAAATAAAAAAAAAATTCAAAAATTCAAAAATAGATGTACGCAATTCAATTAAATGGATTGACAATCAACATCAAATTAAATGTAATGAAACTTCTACTTCTCAGGACTCTAACCTTGAGGCTTTAAATTGAGGATCTAAAAATTGAAAGATATATTCTACTTTCCTCGCGAACTTCTAACCTTGGAGCTTTAAATTGAGGAAATCTAAAAAAATTGAAAGAATATATATAGTATATATATATACTATATAATATATATATTATATATATAATTATATAAAATATATATATAGTTTATTTATTTATTTTATTTATGAAATTCAACCTACTCTTCAGCTAAAGATTTTATTTATAAAATAAATTTTAGAAAGTAGGTACATAAAATAAACATCGGTATTGAGAAAAAACAATTGCTTTAATATATATAAATTTATTTATTTATTTATTTATGAAATTCAACTACTCTCAGCTAAATTTTATTTATAAATAAATTTTAGAAAGTAGGTACATAAAATACATCGGTATTGAGAAAAACAATTGCTTTATATATATAATTTAAAAATAGATAAATCAAAAAATATGTTATTTAAAGAAAAACAAATATACGTTAACAAAACACGAAAGATAATAAATTAAATGGAAGAAATAAAAAGATAAACAGAGAAATGAAAAAAAACAGAACACAAAAGATAATAAATGAAATTGAAGAAATGTTTATTTTCAATTAGCTCGACAAAGCCGAAGTCGAAAAAATGTTTATTTTCATGTTGTAGCCGCCAGTCTCAATCTTGATGCAATGGTAGTTAAATACACGAATTATAGAAGAGTTGGTTTTTAGAAGGAGAGAATAAGTTGAACTGCAGATACATAATAGAGAAAGATATTGTGAAGACATAATAGAAAATGAGAAAAATAGATATTATATGTTAATTAGAAACTAAAAATTATTTTTTTACAATTATCTTAAACCACATATTAATTAATCCATACTTGTGAAATACTATTTAACAACATCATCCAATCAATATTTTACAAAATAAAGTAAAAATATTCAAAAATACAAATAGGTAGACGTGGATAGATAAATAAATACAGAGACTATTAATTATTAATTAATTAACTAATATTTTCATGAAATATTTAAAAGTATTATCCAATCAAGAATTTACAAAAATAAAAATAAAGTTTTTATAGATTAGGTTAGATTAGATTTCAAAATTATAAATTATCATTATTATATGTAAATATTAAATTGAAAAAATAAATTAAGTTAGCCTATCACAATAAAAAAAAAAAGAAAATTTTCAAAGATTTCTAAAAGAAGAAAAATAGAATGCTCAGCAAAAAAAGTGTCTTAAACTTTCTCTTTGGTTCAGCTTTCACACATACATATATATATATATATAGGTTGAACTAAATACTTTATTTTAAACCCAATTTGTTGGTAAACACATCTACACATGATTAAATCAAAGCAAACTCTGATGTTATGTTAATAAAATGGACCGACTATAACGCACTATCTAAAAACTAATAAAAAAAAAAAGATTATTCAAATCTTATATTTTAATTGCATCGGCAAAATATTGATATTAACTTTCCAGATAAATAGTTTTCATTAAAAAAAAATTATTTGATAGGCTCAATTAGATGAGCTTTGCCTTTGGAATATAGACAACATAATTTTAATGTGATGGCAACTCAAACCCACCTGTGAAAGAGGCAAAGTCCAATAATATAAAAGTTTTTAGCACATTTTGTTTTCTTTCATAAAAACAAATGGTCCATGGAATTGCGTTTCCTTCAAAGTAGTTCAAAGTTATAATGATGTTCCACCCGTGTCCCAATTCCATACTGTATCCTCAAATCTATGTACAAGTACAACACAGTAAAATCATGTTAAAGATTATTTATTTATTTATTTATTTAAAACTAGTTTTTTTTTTTGGTTTAATATCAATATTTTAATTTAACATTAATCCAATTCAAATGGCCGCATATGGTTTTTGAGTTTAATTGAGTTAGTCTTAATTTTAAATTTTACAAATCTATTAATATCAATTTGCATTAGCCACTTTTTATTTTAGTCGTTTTAATCACAAAAAAAAAAAAAAAACTTAAATTGTACGTATCTCTCTAATTCTAATTTAGTTTGGACTACCGCTATTAATTTACAGTATTCCTATCTTCAAGTGCTTAGATATATTTGAGTGTTTTTGACAATTTCTACAAAGTCAGAAAATTGATCGAGAAAAATATTTATTGAAAGAGATAATTATCAATCTGAAAATAAAATTATTTAAGTGTGGGAGTACTCATATGAAATTAAAAAAAGAAAAGGTGAAAAACTTTTTTCTCTTTTTATCTTTTTTGTGAGTGCTGGACCGAGAAGAATGGAGTAGCAAAGCAAAGATGAAGCAACATTGCATATTGAAAAAGTTGCCATTGACACATCAATGGACAATGCAGTCCAAGTCAGGTTACCCATTTTTAGACTCACTTGTGAAAATTATAGTGAAGCAAACATCTCCCTCACCATTTCTCATTTTGGTTTCTATAATTGGTGCCAAGTCCCTTCAATTTCATATTAGACTACTCCACCAACTTTCATTTTGATCTTATTAGCCAATATCTCCTTTACCAACTCTCTTTTAGCTTTTTAATTCGCCTGAAGATAGTAGAATAACATTATATTAGGATTATTAGTTATATTATATTAAGATTATATACTTGACGTCTTAAATTTTATTTTTTATGCACATCAAGGTATAATATAATAGTAAATGTATATATGACTTAACAATAGATCCAGATTCGAATCTCATCCCATCATATTAAAAAAAGAATTCTATTTTTGAGCTAAAAAAAAAATCAGTTAGGGGATATAATATTTCTTTAAATGATTTTAAATGTCATTTTCTAAAAATGAAATATTAAAATGAATTAGTTTATTGAAAAGCAATATTATCCTCACAATTTTCATCCTATTCCTTCTTTTTTTTTTCTTGTCTTATTGTCTTGTCCATGTCTCATTCATGCATTTAGTATTCTCTTTAAAAAAAAAAAAAAAAGAAAAAGTCTTGTCCATGTTCTCATTCATGCATTTAGTATTCTTCTTTAAAAAAAAAAAAAAAAGAATTCTCTTTAAAAAAAAAAAAAAAAGAAAAAGAAAAAGAAAAGGAGAAGTTGGGATAGAGCAATTAGTGGATCAAATTGGTCCGTCAATCCGTTTTACTACCTACAAGGAATCCTGGTTAAATATGTAAATTTAAAGCAGCAACAATGGAAGAAGAAACAAGGCATGCATGCCCATCTAAGGTTCCGATATTGAATTTATTTATAAATGAATTTTTTTATATTTAAAATAAATTTAAATTTAAAATTCATTTATTTTTATTTTTTTAAAAATTTTTGGCGTAATAATTTTGTCATAAAAATTTTAGGTTATTTAAGACATATAATTCATTTGAAAATTTCACATTTTTTCAATAGAATTTGATATATTCAATTCCATATAATTGAATTCATAGAATTAATTTCTTTATTTTATTTTCATACCAAATACAAAAATTTAGATATATAAATAAATTACATAAAATTTTATGGAATCCATTTATCGGTGGAAAAAAGGAGTTAAGGAGCAAAGCTTTAGACTTTTATCTTGTCAAAATCATTTATCACCCCTATAAAAACAAAATCCTATAATGTATTTTATCTTTCAGCACTCCTGTGATGAACAAGCATTTAAAATCTCCATTCCCATTCCTCGATATAGGTATATACAAACAATATTTTTTGTTTTGTTTCAAAGATAGATTGTTGAGCTACTTGGATTCCATTAATGGAGATTTCAACTTCAAATCTTAGTAGGGGTACAATAGGATTAGGATTCTGTGAAGTGAAGATAAGTGTTACTTGTCTATGCCTGTTGGTGGAATTTGTCGTTGACAACCACAGAGTATGAAATGGGCTTTTTTTTTTGGGGGTAAAAGGGAAAAATTTGTCTCTTCAGGTCAGGACATGATAAAGCACGATGACAACATAATCTTATCATGACAAAGCATGAAAACATAGTCTTAACTCTTAACTCTGAGGTTAAATATATATATATATATATATATATATATATATTATAGTATATATATAATAATCCGATCAAAATTTTTAATGTTAATGTTTTACAACAATAAAATAGATTTAATTTATGTCAATAAAATTTTATTGTTGAAAAAAATCATACACCTATTGATGGAAATGCAACTTGATTCTCTTCCCGCCCTCTAAATCCCAGCATGAATCAAAAGTAGATATAGAATATATATATATATATATATAATTCGATCAAAATTTTATTTAATGTTTACAAAAAATAAAATATTTATTTATGTCAATAAAATTTTATTGTTAAAAAAATCATACACCTATTGATGGAAATGCAACATTTGATTCTCTTACCCCCCTCTATCCAGCATGAATCAAAAGTAGAATAGAACAAGAACATCTAATTAATACAAAAACAAAATTTTCTTCAATTAAATGACTGATAACAAATTTTCCTCCTGTCAAACAATGCTAATAACGCGATCGAGTTTTCTATGACGATCCTTGACCAGAGGAAGTTAGCAATTCTTTCACATGTCTCTCAGCTTGCTGTCTAATAAAAGAATAAGGGCATCGTTCAATCACTTCAGCCCCGAAGGAAAATACAAGAGCCTTTCTAGCCGTCTCTAAATCAATACCACGTGCCTGAAAGTAGAACAGCTGGCTTTCTTCTAGATCGCTTATTGCAGCTCCGTGGGAGCATTTGACATCATCTGCTATTATTTGCAAATTGGGTTTGACATTTACAGTTGCTCGTGGTTCCAGAAGGAGGCTCCTCGTTAATTGTCCAGCATCAGTTTGTTGTGCATATCTGCAAAATGGATGTAAGATGCAACAGATATTTGACTGTCCATTAACACCTTTTGAACCGTGTTCTAGCTATCAGCAACCAAAAGTAAAAGTCATCAGAACAAATATAGGATGGACCAGAGTCGCTTAATCGGTTCTCCTACTCCAATTCCCTGTCATCACAGCCTATTATATGCACTATCATAGACTGGTTTCAGTGAGTTTCTCTCCTCTTTCTTTCTTCAGATGTATATAAGATTAATTTTCCAAAGGAACAGCATTAGTTGTATACAACAATACTATGACTTTATATCTCCAATTTAACTGCTAGACAAGCTTATAGCGTGAACTTCACTGAATGAAAAGCCACCAAATACTGATTTTGGATTGACATTGCACTGGGATTATGTCTAATCACAATGAAGCAAACCCATGATATAGGTCCCATTGTTTCACCCAAAATAGAAATAATCACATTTTAACGGGTCTAGAATGCATATGCTATTTAGTAAATTCTATTCAGGTAATCTTAGAACCCTGATGCAAGAAGATGATACACAGCATAGAAGTGAAGCAAGACATTATTAGCCAGAGCGATGAGAGAACAAAAAACTGGAGATAACACTACCTGTTGACCTTTATATTCCCATCAAAGACAGCTTGGCCTAGTGAATGAGCAACTATGCACTTGTGAAGTTGTCGAGAATAAGCCCTTGGATGATCCAAGACAAGCCTACTATGTAGATCTTGTGTTTGACCATCAACAGACAAATGGAATGTTGATAACTCTGTTGATGTATCTGGGCCTAGTTGCTGAACATGAAGGTTATGCCTACTTAATTTTCCGCCAGTGCTTACCTCAACAAGTTCATAGGTGCTACTTGATTTCTGCAAACAATCAAATTTAAGTCAAATTTCATTTTAATTTACTCACACCTTGCTTCTATTCCAACACCATCAGCAAAGTACAGATTTTTTTTTTCTATCCATAGACAATGTCTTAGATAAGCATGAAGCACTGAACCATATGCTTTTGCAGTTATGCATAGGTAAAACACAACATGTAATATTAGTACAGTTACAAAATGGACTGAATAATATCACAAGTCCTAGCCAGATAGTTGTACAGGTATCAATAGTATGAGTATCATCACCTATAACAAGATTAATGTTTCTGCAGGCACATATAAAATGATTAAAGTGCTAAGACAGAGGCATGGATGCCATCTACTATGCCTTCAATTAGAGAAGCAGCGTCTGTGGCTGTCAGAATCCCATGGTTATTTGCAACAAATACCCTTCTTGTGCCTTTTTGTGAATAGTACTGTCAAGCAAATTACAAGGCATAACTTTTAACTTTCTTTCGAGCCCCTACTTAGTAAAGGGTACAAATAGACTGTCTCTGATCATATTATACGACAGGAAGTTCTCATATTAATAACTCTTATATTAGAAAGTGAAAATCCTTTAATTTAACTTCAGCAAAGCCAATTCTTTCCGATAAGTTCTTATGTATTTCCATATTCTGACACTAATGCCATTTTCATGTTTGTCCAAAAGAACCTCTTAATGTACTAACAAATGAGAAATTCAAAAGAGAGAGAGAGACACCAATTAAGTTAGATTTAATTGACAAAATTAAAGACAATAAATTTAATACTATATTAGCAAAACTGATAAGAGATACTACTTGACTTAGGAGAAAATATATATATCACAGGCATGAAGAGTTAACCTCATAACTATAAATGACATTCTAATGTCCCCACAGTACGACAATCTTGTGTTGTGCCCCCACCACACACCTTCTATTCCCATAATATCATAAGTTCCGGCTACAACCCCCCTCTTCTACTGCGCCCATGTCCCCATTCAAGGCAATGGAAACATTTGTCTTAAGAATTCCTTCTTTGAAAACAATGACAAGAATCTTGATAAAAATAGAAAAAAGAACAATGGGAAATCAATTTTTGAATCAAAGAAAGATAAATTTTGCATAAACAAGGGCTAGCCGAGCCATTTACATTTATGATACTGAGCTGGTCAAAACCAGCAAAGACATAAATCTATTCATCGAGAAAAGGCAAATTAACTTCTGCAACATATAAGTGCTATACTTCAAAATCTAGTGATAGCCACACATGCATCCTGTTTTAAATCTCAAAAGTGACAATAGTAAGCAATTTTCATATTGTACAAGGCTTGGGTAAAGCACACAAATGTATTTCAATTTACTTACGTATTCAGACTATGTACCAAAATAGTATCCCACATCCTTTAAGAACTAGTTCAAACTTCAAACCGTCAGAATTCTAACCAAAATCATGCACATCTAATGTTTTCCACTTCGATACCAAATTATCATGTTATCGGTCTTTAATGTGAAATTTATTTTATATAAAAGCATATTCAAGCATTAATACATTCTGAAAACAAGCATTTTAAATTTCAAAACCAAACCATTAACACATTCATTTTTATTCAATTCTATCATCTTCTCAAAATTGAACATGAAGAATATACTCTGTATAAACTAAATTGAGACCAAAAAAAAAAAAAAAAAAAAAACAATTCTATCATCTCTCAAAATTTGAACATGAACGGAATAACTCTGTATAAGATCGCTAAATTGAGACCAAAAAAAAAAAAAAAAAAAAAAGGCAAGGAAAAAAAAAAAAAAAAAAAAAAAGGCAAAGGCCCAAAGAATAAAAAGAGAAGCAAATAATGCAACAAAAACTCACCTGTTGAACATAAGTCCACTTGATATGGGCAGAATTTAAGGATTGACTCTGTATATAAGAATGCTTAACTTTTGATCCTTCTTCAATAATGACTTGCAAAACTGAATTTGCCCAATAACATTTGTCATCACTTCCTACACTAACAAACTCCTCAATTATCCCAACCTCTCCGCCCTCCTCCACCACTACAAGCACTCTTGGATTTGAAACGGGCAACTTATTAGACCCCTCTTCTCCTCCCTCGAGAGAAACGTAACGCAAATGTATTGGACTTTCCACTCTAACCCCAGCAGGAATATAAACCACAGCCAAATCAGGTGCTCCTAATCCATTAATAGACCAAAACACATCACCACATTGAAAATCATCAACAAAATTGGACACAATTTTGGCAATTTTATCATTGGAGTCACTTAACAAGCTACCCACATAAACCCCATCAGGCAAATTGGGCGAATTCAACATGGAATTTAAGACAAACCCGTCAACAATTACAATATTAGGCAACTGGGTTTCTTTAGAAATGTTTGGTAAGTCTTGTTCTCGTGGTGGATTAGAGATTGGATGAATTTGAGATTTCTTAATAAACGAAGTGTCCGTAAACCTAAAGGATTCATCTTTGCGAGAGGGCCAAGGAGTGGAGAGAAGGGATTCAGAGGAAGAGTCCCTTAGTTTCTGGAGAGGAGGAGTAGGAGAAGGGGAGAGGGAATCTTCAAGAGTTTCTGCAAGTTGGAGAACGAAAGGGTCAGAGAAACTGGCTTGTATTGTTGGGGTTGTGGAGAGTGAAAGACTGGTTTTGACTTTGTGTTTCAGCCTGGGTGTGGGTTTGGCTTTGAGAAACTGAATTTGGGGTGCGAATAATAGGGAAGACATGGATTTTGTTAGAGCCTATAGTGACAGAGAAAGATACTGAAATGAACAATGTTGTAATGGCAAGCCCCTCTGCACATTGGACAAAACCAAACTAGGAAGAAGAAGAGAACCAGAAAATAAATAAAATAAAAATAGTCAAGAAACGCATCCTCCATTTAAGACCCAAAATAAAATAATAAAATAATAAAATAATAAAAAAGAAATAGCTAATCCAAGCTGGGTAAAATCGAACAGGCAATACGCACCGTTTCACCAAAAGATAAAAACCCCTGAGACAGATCTCTCCCATCATCGTCCTCTCTCTCTCTCTCTCTCTCTCTCTATACGCCACCGTTTCTCAGTCCAAAAGATCAAAAACCCCCCTGAGACAGATCTCTCCCATCATCGTTCCTCTCTCTCTCGTCCTCTCTCTCTCTCTCTCTCTCTCTCTCTCTCTCTCTCTCTCTCTCTCTCTCTCAGTGGAAGTATGAAACTATAAGAGCAATTAAAAGAAACAGAGCAAACAGAGGAAAGAAACCGACCCATCTCTGAAATCTATCAAGAACGAATTCGGAATCAAACCCTTTTAGGCTATTACACCTTTTTGGGCAAAAGAAGAGCAGAATAAAAAGCAGAAATCTATCTCAAAAAGTCAATGCTACCTCAAAAAGTCAATGATACAAGAAGTGGTTCAAAAAATTAAAGACAACAAACTAGGACTAGCTTCCCAAATGAATAAAGAAGAGGGGATGACATGTTCCAATTTGCCCAAATGATCAGCACAGAATTAGCTTGACGAAAGACATGATAAATATAACACTCACCATCTCGAATTATCAAGCTCTGAATATCCAAAATAAAAACAACCAAAAGATGAGCAATTAATAACCCTGAGCTCACCAGTTTAACAGCATCCAAACAATCAAACTCAACAACAACCTTACGGAAACCATGGTCCCAAGCAAAACAATCAAACTCACAACAACAACCTTAACGGAAACATGGGTCCCAAGCAAGAATAAGCCATGTCCTAGATTAGAGGAAAACTCACCAAACTAAAATAGTAGAGTGACCAAATTATTAAGAAAATAGGCCTTCAAGCGCCACCTTCCCCCAAACAATCACGGAACACAGCCACCACACCGAAACTCAATCCACTAGCCATCGCAATTTAAACTTCACCCAATCCTCCTGAGGCGTAATCCCAAGCACACAAAACTGCCTACTAACTCAGCCGAAGCAATTAATAAAAGAGTAGAGAGAAAATTTCACAATATCACAAGTTTGCTACTCGGATTAAAAAACCAACAATGATTTAAACCAAAAATACAAGAAAGTTCATTCTGAAAACATACAAATTTTCTCCGCTTTCCATAACCAACCAAAATAGCAACTCCGTAAAAATCAATAATGTCAGGAGATACCAGAGGGACCAGTCATGTGCAAGGATAAATTTTAAACGCAACCAATAAACAAATATCATCCACCCACAAAAAATTAGGAGCCAACCCACTGCTTCGCCGACCATGCCTGCAAATGCAAATACAAATCAACGAAAAAGATGCAACAGAGACTGTCTCCTCTTCATTAGAACATAAACTACATAGACTGAAAGAGTCATACCTCTCTGAAACTGAAAAGGAATTAAGTTGGGCAAACGGCTATGCAGAATCAGCCCAAAGGAAATCGTCTCAAATATTAAGGCAAACCATCAACAGATCCAAATCCATGAGAGAAAATAAAGATCATACCAACATGACCTCATCCAATAATAAAGATAAATAGGGCTTGCTTTAACAAAAAAATAACCCTCATCATTAGAAAAAAATTCCACCAAAATGGAATCACTGAATAAGAACAACCAAAGGAAGAGGAACCATAAAATTTAGGCAAACCATCAACAGACCAAATCCATGAGAAAGAAATAAAATCATACCAACATGCACCTCATCCAATAATAAAGATAAATAGGCTGCTTTAACAAAAAAACTCATCATTAGAAGAAAAATTCCACAAAATGGAATCCTGAATAGAAACAACCAAAGGAAGAGGAACCATATAAATTAAGTACTTAATATCATTAGAAAGATAGGTACGTAACAGAAAGATCCCACGTACCATTATGAATAAGATCGTCCACCCGAAGATGCTCCTCACCCCAAGAAATAGACCCTACCAAATCCATCAAAGGAGCCACAGGCAACTAAGAATCATACCATAAACTAACTAGTCGACCATTCCCTACCCGCCAAAAAACATGAGACTGAAGATGCTGGAAACTACGAACAATCCCCTTCCAAGTACAAGAATCACAACCCTGTAAGACCGGAGAAAAAGAGTGACCATGACAATATTTATGAGTCAAAAACTGGACCTAAAGAGCCGAATCATGCATAAAAACTTTCCAACCCAACTTACCCAACATAGCAACATTAAACAATCGGGCACTCCAAAAATCCAAACCCCTAAACTTCTTAGGCTTGATAAGTCAATTCTACCCAACCAAATACATCTTATGATGTTCCATCGTAGACCCCCCCCAATAAAAATTACAAGACAACTTATCAATAGTCCCACAAATAGAAGAAGGTAACCACACAGTTTGCATAGTATAAACAGGTAAAGAAGAAACATAATATTTAATAAGAACTTCCTTACCGGTGAAACTAAGCAAACAGGACCTCCAATTTGCCAAGCGAACCTCTACCTTCTGAATAATATCCTGATACAGCGCCACAGAAGACCGCCCATGAAGTAAAGGAACCCCCAGATACTTGCCTAAATTTGAGGTAACCGCCACACCCAATAACTACTAGAGCCTATGTCGTATAGGAAGAGAGACCGTCTTGGAGAAGAAAATGAGAGATTTGGCCAGATTAGCCTTCTGCCCACTACCTCCGCAAAAGTCCACCAAAACATCATGAACTACTTTAGCCTGCCGCACAAAATCTTTCCCGAAAATAATCAAGTTGTCGACAAATAGCAAACGACTAATAGGAGGACCATCCCTTGAAGCACAGGCCGAGACCCACTTTTTCCTAACCATCTGACGGTGAATCAATAGAGATAGCCCCTCCATACAAAGGACAAACAGATACAGAGATAAAGGGTCACCCTGACGCAGACCCCGAGAAGACACAAAATAACCAGAAGGACTCTCATTCCAAAGCATTGCCAAAGAAGACTGGGCAAGAGCACTCATAATCAAAGAAATCCATAAATCAGGAAAACCAAAAGAAACTAGAACAAACCGTAGAAAATCCCAATTCACTCTTTCATAGGCTTTTTCTAAATCAACTTTCAAAGAAAAATGACCCATTTTAAACTTAGATCTCCACAAAGAATGAAGAAGCTCCTGATTGATAATAATATTATCAACCATAGTATGTCTCAGAATAAAGCTACTCTGAAAAGGACTAATCAACCCATCTATAAAGGGTCGCAATCGAAGAGCCAAAACCTTCATAACCACCTTATGTAAGACATTACAGAGAGTGATCAGCCTGAACTGAGAGATAAATTTCAGAGCAGCAACCTTAGGAATGAGAACAAATAAAACCTTTGGCCAAATGGCGATCCATCACACCAGTAGAAAAACATGTGATTAACAAAGGAGACCACCTCATCACCTACAATATCCCAATACTTCTTAAAAAGTAAAGGTTGGAATCCATCAGGCCCTGGAGCTTTAAAAGAACCTATACTAGAGACCGCTGCCCAACCTCATCCCTAGAAACCGGCCTCATCATATCTGCCACAACATCTGCTGATAAATGAGGAAAAATAATACCAGAGAACACAAAAAAAGAAAAATAAGAATCAACAGAAAACAAAGAAGCATAATAATCATAGGCTAAACCCTTTAGAGTAGAAGGATCCGAAATCCAATCACCATCATCATTTTTAAGACATTCGATCTTATTTTGTTTTCGATGAACCTGAGTAACAACATGATAATATTTAGTGCACTGATCACCACCCTGAAGCCAAGAACTGCGAGATTTCTGAAACCTCCTACTGCAAAATCAAATTATACTGAGATAGCAAATCATTCTCTAGATACAATGATTATTACAGTCCTTCTCTAGCAAACCCTTCTCTTTTTATTGACCCTTGGCTGTAGGGTTTCAATCTTAGGTTCTTTATCATTTTCTTTCCATTTCATACTATATACAATGATTATTATACACTCTGCACTATTAACATCAATTATAACAATCTCAAAGCCCATCAAGGGCAGTACAATCCATTATCAAGCCCATGAAAATGCATTACAACCCACAAGGAGAAGAATACAAATTATACTTAAACGTTTACTTTCATAATGTTAACATCAAACTAGATTAATTAAAGAGCAATTGCCCATGTAATACCTTCATCATATGTAAAAATCATATACATATAGTAGCTTCAAGAAAATTAGAGAGAAGATCTACAAAACTCGACAAGCCTCTTGCTTAAAGAAAAGTAGGGCAAAAAGCAATAATAAGTTACTAAGAAGTCATATTTGGTGTAGATGCTATTAAAGAAGATGCATCATCACCGTAAAGTCATACAAAAATTATAATTAGCCAAATTAATGATGAAGGCTATGCCTCACAAAAGCATTTGAAGGAGCCTCTCCCTCTCCCTTCACTTTTTCTTCCTATTGAAACTGATTGATGATGAACCTTTTTGAATTAGTTTAAGTTAATGTACAAACGTCAATCATCATTTGCAAGTCTAACAAAAATGAACTTTTTAGACAAATTGACACACCCTGAGATGAAAAGTATTTTGTGTTCTTGAGTTAGCATTTCAAAGATAGTAAATCTCTAATATTAGAGAGGAGAATTTGATTTCATCAAAAGCATAAACTAGTTCGAAGAAAAGCATTAAAAAACATTTAGATTTCGTTTGGTACAGATAAATTCTATGAAATTAATTTGGAATTTTATATTTTTTTACCTATTTAAATCAAGATCGGACCAAAATCAATTGAACTGAAAATGATTCGAACCGATTAGTTTCAATAATAATAATAATGCATCAAACACACTAATGTATCGCCTAATGGCAAGTGTATGTACGACCTGACAACAGATCTAGTTAACATTACCGTATTTTTATATTTATTATTTATTATAAATGAAAATGAATATTACTCCAAAATACTTTTTCATTATATCCTCAATAGATTTTCTAATAATAACTTAAATATTAATGATATTTTTGACCAAAAAAAAAAAAAAAAACAAGTGTAAATGCCTACGACCTGGACCAACAGAATCTATTTACAGTTACCGCGCGTATTTTTTATATTTATTATTTATTATAACAAAATGAAATGAATATTACTCCAGTACTATTTTCATTATATCCTCATTAGATTTTCCTAATAATAACTTAAATATTATGATATTTTTGACCAAAAAAAAAAAAACACGTAAAACAAACTATAAAATTTTAAAATTTTCTTAACTTCTGCGCTTTAAGTATACTACGTACCAAGCAGACTTCAACTAGTGGAACTCAAGTGAGCATTATAGATAGCAGAAACACAGGTCAGTTGCCCACTTCAGTAAAAAAAAAAAAAAAAAACACGTAAAACAAACTATAAAAATTTAAATTTCTTAACTTCGCGCTTTATAAAGCAGACTCAACTAGTGGACAAGTGAGATTATAGTGCAGAAACACATCAGTTGCCACTTCAGTAGAAGGAAATAGAGAAGTTGGGACATGAAAAGCACATTTAAGAACCATCTTTAAAGTCATTGCATTACTTACAAAACAAGTGGGAGCTCACTTCAGCGGCCAATTCACAATTCTTTATTCATACAAAGTTTGCATTACAATGGTAACATTTACATTCATACTAATAAATAAAAATCACAATCCATTATGCCACAATTCTGATTTACAAAATTCTAACAAAATTTCATTTCTACCAAAGCCTGCAACCAGTAATCATTAGAAGAAGATTAGTAAAGGTTTAGGTGATAATCCTTCCTTGCTTCTCATTGTTGAATCAAATTTTAGAAACTTCATCTGTTGGGTCTCACAAAAGGATAAGCGGCCATGACAATAATGAGATCGCCTTGATAAATTTGATTCATTGTTTTGCTCGTTTCGTAAACTATTTAGATAAAGAAATGAATGTTACAGAACCTTTTTTAGCATAGAGTTTTTTCTGTCTTCCTATTTCAAGAAGAAATTTTATGGATGTTCTTGTTTTATTATGTTGAGGTAATTTTTACTAGATTTTTTCATTTAATTTTTCCAGGTTAAGTTCGGAATGCTTTATTAATAAAATAAAATTAGTTGACCGATAAAAAAAAGATTAGAAAACGAAAAGAAAGAAAAATGAAAAGATGCCATTGACAATTTCCTTTTTAGTAGAATCAAGCAATGACATTAAAGAGATGCAAAAGAAAAAAACTTGGTCTTCAATGACTTGTCCATCCCTTAATATACAAATAAATTACTCATATTAGCATTAGAATGAGTTGATACAAGAAAAAAGAGTTGGTAAAATAATAATAATAATAAAAAAAAGCTACTGTACATATAATTTGATGCGTGTTTAAAAAACATTATCCTTGATAATTCACCCACACGGGATGTATCCATCGAGATTCAACAAGCTCTTCTATAAAATAAATAAGAAGTAAGAGCAATAGAAAGCAGAAGAACCAACAAAGGAAGAAGAAAGAGAACTAATATTTTTCGTGTTTTCAAAGGCTATGCAGTGAAGTATTTATAGCAAAATATCAAAGAAAATAGAGGGGCTGAAAATCTGGAGCAGTAATACACCATTGAGGAAAAATAAGGGGAAATCAAATTAAAACTTTTAACAAGTCAAAACACTAGCTCATACATCTATTTTGCTCTTACTAGCCCATCAAAGAGAGTTCAATTGTAAACCAAGAAAAAAGCTTTACTTTACCGAAGTTGGAATATTGTTCTGTACTGTAAAACATGCCTATAACTATCTATAATTCCCAAATGCAAAACAAAAATTTTGGTTATGTAAAATTGAGAGCTTTCTCCAGCAAATCAAGATTCTCAAGTTCAATGTTGGGAAGATCAATCATCCCAGACAATGGAAAATCCACCAACCCTTCGCAGTCGGGCACAGAAAAATACTCGGTATCATTGACACCACCAAAGAATTGACCAAAATCATTACTAAATTGTGAGTAACAGTCACCATAGTCGTTATACTCCATATTAGTTTCCTGTTTAATCGAACTTTCAACTCCATTATCAAGAACCGAAGATGGCGATGGACGAGAAAACAAAACAGAACTAGCATTGGATTCTTCTGATACAACTTGTGAAACCATCATCGTCTCAAACTCCAACTCCTTTTTCCTATAAGCAGCAGCAGCCATCTCCTCGGTATCAAAAGTACCAAGCCATAATCTAGTCCCTTTAACTGGATCTCTAATTTCCGCTATATATTTCCCCCATGGCCTTCGTCGAACTCCTTTATAAATAGATGAACACATTCGAGTTCTCTTGTCACCCAACTTGGTGCTAGTATAAACATTACTTTTGGTTTTGGTTTTGCAAGAATTCTCAATTCTTGTTTCATATTGCATAGTTGAAAGAGTAATCTCTCTTACAAAACGCTTACCATTGCCAAATAATCGCTTGCTGCTTCCATTAATGAGTTCTTCATCTTCATCACTTGATGAATCTGTGGCTTCAGGGTCATGATATATAATGCGAACTTTTCTTGTTGAAATGAAATTGTTTTGTTTGATTTTACTTAAATTTTGATCCAACATTGGGTTTTTGAGTCCTGGCATTGTATGAAACTGTGAAATTTTTAAAGAGAAAAACACTATCCCAAAGGAAGACTAGAGAATCTGAAGGGAGACAAGGAAAATCTTGAAAAACCGTTGATAACCAGGAAACCCAAAACACCCAATTTGAATAATAAATCCTTTGTTAGACAATCCTCAAAGCAGCAATAATCCCAAGAACAATTCCTGCACAAAAAACATAATAAACAAAATAAACACAAATGTCTAATATTTCTCAATTCTTATGTTTTTTGAATTTGAAAAAAAAAAAAAAAAAAAAAAAAAAAAAAAAAAAAAAAAAAAAAAATTTTATTGAATTGATGAAAAAAAAAAAAAAAAAAAAAAAAAAAAAAAAAAAAAAAAAAAAAAAAAAAAAAAAAAAAAAGAGAGAGAGAAAACGTAAAACCCACATACCGTTTTGATCTTGATCGTATAACAATTGTCAGAATAGTTTGTTTCTTGCTTTTCTCAAGGCGCCAAGATTGCTTACAAAGAGTGAAGAAGAGACAAAGAGTTATGCAGAGACAGTGTAGAGAGATCCAGAGCTTTTTTGTAGCTCCAGTTACCTGATCAAACCCACAAGACATAAGTTGAAACTTCTCTGTTTCTCCTGTCTCTGTTTTTCTTAGGAGTCTGAAGCAAACAGGGAATCATAGAAAGTCAAAACATATATTGATTATTACGAATTAATAGATGCGAAAAGAGATTTATTTCCTAAAATAGTTAAAATTATGATTATAAATCAAGAAAAAGAACAACACGCATGATAGATTAACAATAATCAAATGAAAATGGAAACAGAAACTAAGATTGAAATAAATGATTTTTATACAAATTTAAAATTTTGATTCTTACCCAGATTAGATGAAGTAAATATAACCCTTTTTGAGCTATATGACTATATCTCTGACTCTCTCGCTTTAGAATTTGTAGAGGAAGAGGAGTAGTAGTAGAGACAGGCTCTGTATGTGTTCTGTTTCTCCTGGAGAGGAGAATAATCCGGAAATTGAACTTCAAATAGGAACTTTCAATGGGCCCCTTTTAACTGTAGTGTGCTCCAAGCATGCACCATCTCACCTTCCCTTCCATAATTAAATTGTGTAACAAAATATCTATTATTTTTAAAAAATTTTGATTTTTTAATTTCTTAATGCAATTTTAAATTATTTATTTATTTTAGTTATATCTATTAATATGTAACTTTTTATAAGTTAAGAATTTAAACACCTAATCTTTCCTCCTATGACACATGTTGTTAATTTCTTTTCTTTTTTTTTTTTTTTTCTTTCTTTTTTTTTTTTTTTTTTGGAGAAAAACATTCATCCATATGATGTTTCTAACTTGTTCATTGGAAATAGATAATTGATATATATAAATATATAATATATATATATATATATATAGAAAATAATTACTAATAAAATTATTTTTTTTTCAACTAAGTAATCAGTTTAATAATAATCAAATAAGTAATGAGTATTATTATAACCAAATTAATTTATATTATCTTTTCATAATAAGTAAATATTATTATAACAAATTAATTATATTTATCTATATAATATATTAAATTGGAAAATTATATATTTATATTAAAAACAAAATACATAATCTATGGTAATTTATAGAAATAATTATATTTTTAATAGTCATGTTATTTAACCGTACTAAAATTTTATCAAAATAATTCATCAAGTAATACTATGTATCCAATTATTGAATTTTTTTTTTACTAAGAAATCCAATTATTGAACTTGAGTTAATATGATTTTGTTGATAAATGAGTTTACTCCCATTTAATTGAGTTCTAGTCAATTACTCTAATATAAATTTGATAATATCCTAATTTAATTTAGCATGTTTTCTTGCATTTACGGCAGAATAATAGAACTGTCAGAGATGTCTACTTACTGCTAACTATACAAAATGACACTACTCCAATTATCGTTTTCTCAACCTTGTCTCAATGGAACAATAACATTGTCTCGGTCGAAATCAAGTGTTCTCAACCTAAACTATGTCCTTTAAAGTCAGTTATCAATTTTTAAAAAAAAAATGATATCTTTAGCTAGAAAACTAAAATCAAATAATTATACCACAATCAGAATGGTTATTTTGTGCAATTTATAGTTAATTTATACCTAATAATAAATTTTAATCAGACTCAAATAGCAGATAAAAATTCTAATGAATTATTAATTCAATATATTTAGTACTTTAATATTGATTTCAGTTATATCCTAATTTAACTTCGTATGTTTTATTGCATCTATGTCATAATGACGTATCCTACTCCAATTGTCGTTTTCTCAACCATGTCTCTCAATGGAACGCAACATTGTTTTCTCAACACTTAACTTTGTCGTTTTACGTCCTTTATCAATTTTTAAAAATAAAAACAACATATTTAACTGTAAAATCAAAATCAGATATTTATAGCCGAATTCATTGATATTTTTAACTTGATAGTTCTTCGGTTCATAATACTTGTTACATTTAAGAAAATAGTTTATTTTAAAATATTTATCACATTTATAGTTTCAAAAAGTAATAAATATTTTTTTTCATGTTTACCCTCTATATATTAACAATAATTATTATTTCAATTTAATGATTTTTTTAGAGAATTAGTATTAAGTTAAGGATAATATAGTCAATTTACTCAATAATTATTGTAATTTAGACAAATTTAATGATTTTCTTGAGGGATGTGAAATTTCAAATGTGATCAGTATTATTAATGAGAGGTAATAATTAATTTGTACTACTTGACAAGAACTTTTATATATATATATTTACTATTTAGTAAAGATTTTAATTAGTCTCAAATAGCCGATAAAAATTCAATCAAAAGCGTTTTGAAATTGTTTTTTCTATTAGCTATCATCTAATTTTTTATTTATATTTTATTTGGACTATGATCCATATAAAAATTAATTATTAATAAAATCAGGATAAAAGAGACGGAAAAGACATATTTGTCCCTGAAATGTACTTTCATTTGCTCTGGTGAATGTAAAGTAATTCCCCCTAAAAGAATAATAAATGCTACCTAATATTCTTGAAAAGAAACTGTGCAATAATGCGTAAGCGCTTACTCAGCAATGGCAAAGAAAGAGAACGACAGATGATAATGTAAGTTAAGGTAATATTTACAAGCTCGAAAATGAATATACCATTTATAGTGTAAAAAAATTAATAACTATGATTTTGCTGATAAAAAAAAAACTATGAAATAAGATTTTTTTTTTTTAAAAAAAAAAAAACACTATGAAATAAGGTTCTCGGAATCTCGGAGAATATGCGTTCGTAAGATACATTTCTATAGTTTTTGAGGGTGTAACCATTAATTTCAATTTGAACTTTTTAAATGGTTGTAATTTCAATTTAATTGAATTTTATACCTAAGTAAATTATTAATCCAGTTACAATTATATCATAATTTATTTTTAGAGTATAATTACACCTTAAATTGCATCTTAAAAGCAAATTAAAATTGAGATATTGATTTAAATAATGTAAAGATATACCTCATAACTAATCCAATTTTGATTTAGTTCTAAAGTCAAAAGTCTAATCTTTATTTTCTTGTTTGATTTTTTTTTTTTACCAAATAAATTTGTTTCGTCAACTTATAATGTCTAGAAAAAATTTATTTTATTCAAGTACTAATCTAAACCAGTAGACCCCACATACAGCCAACTTAACTCAGATAACAAGTAAAAATACCTTATCAAAATATCAACACTCACCAACAACAATTCAACAAAAAATAAAAAATGCTAACCAACATCCCATATTAACATAAAACTAAAGCAAGAGTCAAAAGAACGAGGTCGGCCTATTGAACGCTATTTCTTGAGATGAGAAAAGATTAAAAAAAAAAAAAAAAAAAACGAGTCGCCTAGTTGAACGCGTATTTCTTAGATGAGAAAAAGATTAAAAAGAAAAAAAGCAAAAAAAAGCCAGAAAAAAAAAAAAAAAAAAAGCCGGTAATAAAGGGAGTTTGCAGCCAACCTGAAAGAATAAAGTATCAATGTATCTAAGCAACAAAGGGAGAAGTAGCATCAATACCCTTTTTTGTCGGTATATACACAAAATGATTACATAATTGACTTATATATCTGAACTCTATTGAATTTAGTTGAGCTATTATACCATCAAATTATTAAAATTCTTCCAAACCTCCAAGGATAATTACTTTTTTTAAATAATCCATCTAATTTTCTTGTTTAAGACTACTTTTGTTCCAAAATATAAGTTATTTATTAAGATTTTTGCATAGAGATTAAGAAAATAATTAATTCTCTTAAATTATAATAAAACTAAGAGTACTTTAACCAAGTTATCCTTATCTCAAAATCAAAAATAACTTATTAAGGTAATTTATCTAATATAGATAAGGATAACATCGTAAAAACATCATTTATTACCCCCTTGCTCAAAACGATTTATATTTTAGAATAAAATAAACACAAAAAAATGACTTATATTTTGAGATAAAGTGAGTATATGAATACTTAAATTTGATTTTCTTGCTTATTCTTTAAATACTTGGATTATAATATTTGTTTCCCTTTTAATTCAAATGGTCCATTTTGCATTTGCTTTTGTGGAGTTCGCTTTGCATTATTTCAATCAAAATCATAATCATAATTTGTTTTTCAGTTGCAATTGCAATATATTGATAAATCCAAGATATCCTAATTTTTAAGGTGCTATTACATTTAGATTATAATTAAAATATAATTATAATTCAGTTGATAAATTCAGTGTGTTCAAGATGCAAGAGTTAATTTAGGTTGAAATTATAACTACTAAGTGAAATTGACAATTAGGCTTGTAAATTGTAACAACAAAATTTAAAATTTAGGCTCCTTTTGTTTCTGAAAAATAATTTACCTTTAAAAAATATTTTCCAAGAAATGACTTATTTTTTATTATTTGGTTACAATATTGAAAATAAGTTAAAAATATTAAAATTTTTAACTCATCACACTATAAAAATACTATTAATAATAAAAAAAATTTCACATTTAAAAATTTTATTGCTAAATATAAGAAGAATGCAAAAAAAAAAAAATTATGAAAGTCGCCGATGACAAGTGGTGGTGGCCAACGGTGGCTGGTGGTGGACGGTGGTGAAAGGTGACTATGGTAGTGACTACCAATAATTAATAAATTAAAGAATATAGATTTATAAATTTATAATGAGTTTGTCGAGGTCCGAAAAATGTTTTATGTTCTTGAAAATGTGAAGCTATTTTCTTTGACCAGAAAAATATTTTCTGTTGATTTATTTTCTTGAACGACCCAAACAACAGAAAATTGTAGAAAATATTTTCTTATAAGTTATTTTACGGAGATAAATGGAGGTAATTCACAAATCAAATTAGAGTGAAATTGTAAGTTTATAGTTCTTGAATATTAGTTATAAGATTGATATTGAAATAAGAATTCTAGCTAATAATTATATGAGGTAATTTACGGAATCTTAAGAAATATAAATAGGAGGAATTATAATTTATGGTATAAACAGGTTAATGGAAGGATTGGAGATGAGAGAATGAAGGGGAGAGTTCGTGAGTCTAGATATAGTATGAGGTAAGGTTTACGGGGGGAATGGTTGTAGGAGAGAATGATAAGGGAATAGGAGAACTGTGAGTGAGATTTGTATGGGTGATAAGCGAGGGGGTGGGGGTTTGAATTAGACGGAGTGATGTAGTAGAAGAATATGGATGTTGTAGGTGGTATAGTGAAGTGTAAGTTAATGGGGTGTAAGTTGTTGTGATGTAGTTAGGTTGATTGATTGATATATTATTCTGATGATAAAATGACACTTGAAGGAATAGGGGTAGTTCGTTGAGAGTGATTGATTAGTGGTTGGGGAGTTAGCATAAGTTAGGAACGGAGGTTATTGAAGGAGGAGGGGTAGTAAATTACGGTGAATAAATGTGAGAGGATAAAGTGAGGGGGAGAAGGGCTCATATGGGGGTAGAGGGGTAGGGTAGTAGGGTCAGGGGTAGTAGTCATGGGGGGTAGTAGGGGTAGGGTAGGTGGATAGGTATTAGTAAAGAGAGCGTAGGTATAGTGTGTTAGTTTGATATGTGAGGTTAAAGCTGGAGTGGTAACCAAAACTAATAAGTGCAGAGGGTAGAAGAAAGTGAGCGGGTTTCTCAAGTGTAGAGGCCGTCTGGAAAGTGGTTAGAAGGGGTGTTGTCTTGAATTGATGGCTTAGGATGTTTTATTTTAGAGGGGAGTCCCCAAAAGGGTGTAGACAGAAGTGCGTGGGACATGCGTGCGGAGAATAAGGATAGGTCTTGGTGACAAGGACAATGATAAAAAGACGTGGGGAGTGTGTGTAGGAGAACTAGTAATCAAGTCCGGCCGTGCATTCATGCAGTTTCACGGGAGCTAAGGATGTTCAGTCATGCGTTGAGTTGTTGTGAAGTGTGCCATGGTATTGGGCGGTGCTCGACGGATTTGATTGATAAGTTGTAAGAATTAGCTGTGAGGTGTATCTGGTATTTGAGTAGTGTGCTGATGCGCTTATTTTTGATGGAGAGTAGGGAGTGAAGTGGGTCGCCAACGGGGGATTTCTGAGGGGGGGGGGGGAGTGGGTTCTGTGGAGTATGGATCCTGGAATGAGTTGATATGATAGTGGTGAGCTGTGGCGGCTGGGGGGTAATGGGGGGAGGAGTCGGGGGCGTCGCCCCGTGGGGGGGTGCACCGTATGGATATGGGATTGATATGGGGAGAACCGCAGTGGAGAGCCTCTTTTGGGGCGCACTTTGGAGGGATCAGGATTTGATCGCTGCCGCGAGGTGGCCTGCCTAGTGTGGGCGCCGTGGATAATCTAATTGTGGGAGGAGATGACAGGGAGGTGGGTTGGGGCGCGGTGTCGGGGGTATAAGAAAAAGAAGGAGGAGAGAAGGGAGAATGGGGAAGAAAACTAATGGAGGGGGAGTAACTGGGTCGAGTGAGGATGGTAGGACCAGTTGCCGTATGGGGAAAAAAAAAAAAAAAAGAGAGAGAATGGAAAAACAATGAGAGGACTGGTCAGTGAGGATTAGACCAGTTGGCCGTATGGGAGATCGACTCCCTGGTGCACATGTATGAGAGGGCGAACCATGTGTGAGGAAGGCTCGTTGGGGTTTCAGGTGACGCCACTGGCTAATTTCCACGTGATGTAATTATATGAAGATGATAACATTTGTGGTTGTTGTTGTATTGTCATTTGTGTGTGAACTGCATGGTCATATAACAAGTCGAAAGACTAAAATGATTTATTTTAGATTTGTATGATTGTGTGGGGTGAGAGGGTTATCTAATCCTACTCAACCCCCCCCCCCCCCCCCCCCCCCCCCCCTTCTCAGATAATAGATGGAACGAAGAATCCTTGAGTCCCAATCGAACGACGATACGGATCAATAACAAGTAAAATCTTTGTCATTGAAGATGTAAATGCAAAGGATATTGAAATTGGTTGTTCGTGTATTGTCATTCTGTGTGTGATATGCTATGGTCATAGTAACTAGTCGAAAGACTAAAAAATGATTCATTTTAGAGTTGTTGATTGTGTGGGGTGAGAGGTTATGCAATCCTACTCAACCCCTCCCCCCCCCCCCCCCCCCCCCCCCTCCCCCCCCCCCCCCCCCCCCTCAATCCTTCTCAGATAATAGATGGAACGAAGAATCCTGGAGTCCAATCGAACGAGATACGGATCAATAAAAGTAACAATCTTTGTATTGAATATGTAAATGCAAAGGATATTGAATTATGGAGTAGAGTTCCGCAATTGTATTCTAAATGGGTTGTAAATGAATAAATAGAGTACATATATTTATTATATGGATTGTAATTTGGATATATTTGTGAAATAAGTTATTGGCCTGAATCCACAATTGTGAATAGAATGCGAGTTTTAAGTAATACAGGCTTACTACAGGCTTCGGGGGCTTTAAGTCCACCTAAGTCCTAGTGCCGGTCCAGTCTATGGAAATGGATCGTGATAGTTATATTAAGCCTTATTTAATTAAAAAAGTATTTTTTATTTTTATAATTTATCAGATTTTTTTATTGAAATAACTACTCTCTATTCCAAAAAGATAATCCATATTTTCTTTTTGGTTTGTCAAAATATATTCCACTTTTCTTTTTTATATTATAGTTAATTCTTAAATGTTTACTATATCCTTATTAAATTTTACCTTGTTTTCAATGACCCTTATTAATTTTTATTTCAATATAATAATTACTCATGTGTCATTTAAGATGAACATAATAAGGAAGTTATATGAATAAAATTATTATTTAACCATATTTCTTAATTTGTGTGAAAATAAAAAGTGAAATACCTTCTTGGAACGAGCAAAGTATTATTTTGTATAACTGGATAATGAAAATTTGTTGGTGTCCATGCTTTTTTTTTTTTTTTTAAATTTTTTTTTACACCCAATTAGAGAAGTCTCCTTGCGCAGATGGCCGAATTTTAAAATTAATTTTTATTTCTCAATACCCGTTGACATGATCAAGAGCAAATAGAATATTTGCAAAACAACAAAAAGAATATCTAGATATACAATAATCTTCTAGTCCTAATATTTAAATTATTTTTTGAAAGACTAATATTTAAATTCTCTCACATATTATTATCAAAAATTAAATATTGATCAACGAGTTAGAAAGTAACAATTATCAATAATCTCTCTCTACATAAAAAGTTTAATTCAACTAATTCTTTATGTTTACACATTGATATTTTAAAATGAAAAAACAATTCTTAAAATTTTTTTAATTTACTTATGCCTTGATTCTTTAGTTAAATTAACAATTACTAAAAAAGAATTTCTATATAAATCAAGATTGTGTTTTTTTTTTATTTTTTTATAAACAGTTTATTATTAAACTTGTTATACAAAAATATAAAAATATATTGATTTATATTTCATATTTGTATATAGTTTTCAATTCATAAAATTTATAGTTTGATTTTTTCTAAAAAAAAAAGAATTTTTATAGTAGTAAAATTTGGGTTTGCATTTGTTTTTAACTACAAAAGATTTATACATTAAGATATACATATGATTTGACAATGGACGTGGGATCAAATCTCCCATCCCTAATACTAAAAAAAAAAATTACGAAATATTTTTTTTTTAAAAAGAGAGTTATTAAAGTTAAGTTATTTTCTAGATACTCCTATAATATGATCTTCGATATTGATTGTATTATGATGTTCTTGGCATTGTTCATTATAGGAAAAGTAGTAGTTAGTCTTTGTATTCTCTCTTTTTTCTGAAAGAAGAAGAAAATTAAATTAATTTGCTGTTGTTGCTTGTTTACATATATTAGAAAAATTTTATAAATACTAAAAAAAAGAGAGAGAAACCTTTAGCATAGCTTTATATAGTTAGATATAAATACAGATAGACAGATGAAGGCATCTTTAATTAAAATAATAGCTATAGTAGAATAAATAAGTTAAGTTAAATAATTTATAAATTTAGTATTCCCTTTCAAAAAAAAAAAAAAAAAAAAACCCCTTTTCAAAAAAAAAAAAAAAAAAAGAAAAGAAAAGTTTAATTATATTATATGAATTGTAGCTGAAAAAAAAAAAAAAAAAAAAAAAAAGAAAGAAAAAGTTTAATTTATTATATGAATTGTAGTGAAATGACATTTATAACTAAACAAATCCTTGAAATACTATACATTTTAATTCTTTATATTCTGTGTCTTTGGAACCTACAACCTCACAATAAGAAGCCAAAATGGATTGGTTTTATAATCCTTAATTTTTTTATATGCAAAATAAAGTTTTAATTCTTATATTTTGAGTTCTACATGGAAAAATATTTAAATGAATAATATTCTAATCCTAATATTTATCTTAAATACATCACTTAAATATCAGATTAAGCCACCAATTATACAAATTTGATTCTTGAATTTTAAAATTATTAAAAATAGATTTTTATTAATAAAATTGATCATTTTCTTTTTTTTTTGGAAGAGAACAGTCATCATTTTCTTAATTAAAAAAAAGTGTTATCTAATTTGATTTTATCAGGTAATGGTTTGTTAATTAATTAATATATATATATATATATTTTCAAATAGAATAAATCCATACACAGTAACAGACCAAGATGATTAACCACTGAAATACTCTCAAATCCCAAATCATAATTCTCTCATCCATAGCCAACTTCTTCTCTTCTCTGCAGATTGCTCCCTTCTCTGTGAATGCCTCGATTCGACGCGTAAACACAAAACCCCAGCTATCTCTCACTGCCTCTCTCTCGGATGGCGTCTCCTTCGCTAATGGATACTCTTTTCCAGCGCACACTAGATGATATAATCAAAGGCCTCCGCCACCAACAAACCGGCGAGTCGGCATTCATTTCCAAAGTTATGGAAGAAATTCGACGAGAGATCAAATCCACCGACTTGCATACCAAATCCATAGCTCTGCACAAACTCACATATCTAAATTCAATTCATTTTATTGACATTTCATGGGCTGCTTTTCACGCCATTGAGTGTATATCTTCTCCCAATTTCTCTCACAAGAAGATTGGTTACCTTGCGATCTCTCAGTCCTTCAACGAATCAACACCAGTAATTTTGTTGATCACAAATCAATTGAGGAAAGATCTTAGGAGTAATAATGAGTTTGAGGTTAGTTTAGCTCTTGAATGCTTATCTACAATTGGTACTGTTGATTTGTGTAGAGATCTTACTCCTGAAGTTTTTACTTTAATGTCAAGTTCCAAGCTCTTGGTTAGAAAGAAAGCTTTAGGTGTGATTTTAAGGGTTTTTGGTAAATACCCAGATGCTGTTAGGGTTTGTTTTAAGAGATTAGTTGAATGTTTAGATGGTACTGATCAACAGATTGCTTCTGCAGTAATTGGGGTGTTTTGTGAGCTTGCTTCGAAAGACCCAAGATCATATCTTCCTTTAGCACCTGAATTTTACAGGGTTTTGGTTGATTCGAGGAACAATTGGGTTTTGATTAAAGTATTGAAGATTTTTGCAAAGTTGGCTCCTTTAGAGCCTAGATTGGCTAAGAGAGTTGTTGAACCAATCTGTGATATCATGAGGAGAACTGGAGCAAAATCATTGATGTTTGAGTGTATCAGGACTGTGGCAACTAGTTTCACTGATTATGAATCTGCAGTAGAGCTAGCTGTTGCAAAAAATGGTGAGTTTTTGACAGACGATGATCCAAACCTTAAATATCTTGGATTGCATGTGCTATCAATTATAGCGCCAAAGCATTTGTGGGCAGTGTTGCAGAATAAAGAGGTTGTGATTATGTCTTTGAGTGATGCTGATCCTAATATAAAACTTGAGTCATTGCGGCTAGTTATGGCAATGGTGTCTGAGAGTAATGTGGTGGAATTTTGCAGGGTTTTGGTCAACTATTCACTTAAATCTGATCCTGAGTTCTGCAATGAGATTCTTGGTTCAATTTTGTCCAGGTGTCGCCAGAATTTTTATGAGATTATAGTTGACTTTGATTGGTATGTGTCACTTCTTGGGGAAATATCAAGGATTCCACATTGCCAAAAGGGGGAAGAAATTGAGAATCAACTTATTGACATAGGTATGAGGGTTAAGGATGTTAGACTACCGCTTGTTCATGTTGGTCGTGACCTGCTGATTGATCCTGCGTTACTTGGGAATCCTTTCTTGCACAGGATATTATCTGCTGCTGCTTGGGTGTGTGGCGAGTATGTGAAATTTTCAAAGAACCCAGTGGAACTTGTGGAAGCACTACTGCAGCCTCGCACTAGTCTCTTGCCTCCATCAGTCAGAACTGTTTACATGCAATCTGCTTTTAAAATCTTAATATTTTGCCTACATTTTTACCTCTTACAAAGGGGATGTATTGCTGATGATAAGGCGTCAGAAGTTATGGATTTGGCATCCCAAAGGGAATGCTCAGGAATGTCTGATTTGGCAACACACAAAGCATCTGCCTGTTATGAACAGGAGGAAGGATTCAATCCAAGGGATTCGAATAGATCATATGAAGATCTTTCTATTATAGATGGTGGAGATGATCAAACAACTTCTTCTCCTGGGAAAAGTCTCACACATGAATCTTTTTCTAACCTGTTAACCTTAATTGAATTGGCCTTGAATCCACTATCTAGAAATTATGATGTTGAAGTACAGGAGCGAGCACGGAATATACTGGGATTTGTTGAATTGATAAAGCAACAAATATCCGATTGTTTCTTCCCCAAGGACGTGAATTTGAAGAAGGAAGATGTGAAAGTATTCAAATTTGTTGAGTTGGTGTATGATGCTTTCGCGGAGGAGCTTGGTCCAGTGTCTGTAAATGCTCAAGAGAGAGTTCCTGTACCAGATGGGTTAATGCTTAAGGAGAATCTTTCGGACTTGGAAGCAATTTGTGGAGATGTACAACTACCTTCATCAAGTTCGTTTTCTCTGGGAAGTCCTTATGGGGAAGATGTTGGTGCTTCTCCCATTACCCAAAGCAAAGAAGAGTCAGAACCATCAAGTGAGTCCACTTCATTGCTTGCTGAACATCGTAAGCGACATGGATTATATTATCTTCCTTCAGAGAAAAATGAAATCTTAGCAAATGATTATCCACCGGCCAATGACCTTAAATCCAGTATTGACACCCATGATGATGCTCAAGATCTAGTTAAGCTTGCTGACCAATCACTTGTATCAAAGAGAAAGTCAAGCCTTGCAAAGCCTCGGCCGGTGGTGGTGAAGTTGGATGAGGGAGATGTACCCCTAACTGCCAAGAAACCAGATAGACAAGATGGTTTACTTTCTGGTGCTGTTCGAGATATTCTTTTAGCTAATCCATCTGATGAGACATCTAGTAATAGAAAAGGGAAGGAGAAACAGAATGTTGATCCTCTTGAATCGAGAGAAATATTGGGTGGAGAAAAGCCTGACCTTGGAAATCCAAGTTCTAGAAGAAGCAAACACCGGAGCCATGGTAAAGAGAAAGGCACGAAAAGTGTAGAGAAGAAGAATGCCGATGAAAATGATGATCATGGAGAGAAAGAAAAGCATAAGAGTAGACATCGCCATGGCAGGCATAAAACTCGACAAAGAGCTGATGCGCCAACCTTAACTGTGGTCACACAAACACCAGTAATTCCTGATTTCCTTCTATAGCATTGAATTTATGTTTCAATGCTTCTCTTGTGGCTCCTGAGAACTTGGTTGATGTGACCACACTGTAATCTGCCACCTTGACTGCTAAGGTTAGTGTTTTTTTCTTATAGATTTGGTACATTATTTTTGGTTACATTTTTTGGTTTCTTGGATAAACATCTAAACTTTGGGATTTGTTTTACATGTTACACATTGTGAAAAAGATTTAGAACCTGAATTGTAGTCTGTAGAAATTGAGATTGTCAGTTGGAAAAAGAAGGGATTTTTTTGTTTTCTTCTTCAAAAAGGGAAAGAACTATAGTGCCTGAAATCAACCATTTGAATAGTGCTTTATCATTTATATTCTAATAGTGACACACTTGTTCTAAATTTATAATCTTTACATGCCTCGATTGGGTTGGTTGTGCCATTGGTTTAATTTGCCATATCTGTACTGTTCAGCATCATTGCATTTTAGAAACACCTGCACCTGCTTTCTATTCCTTGTAAAGCCTCATTTTTTAACTCAAATTGAATTGGAACCTTTCATACTTGGTATTTGAATCTTTCGCTCTTGGCAGTTTGTTTGCCAACCAGATGCGGTCTAATTAGTTTTTTTCACTCATGTGAGGAGTGTGAGGTTTAGGTTCGATAACTTTCGATCACAAGAGTTTTCACTAATTTGGTGAATAAAGAAGAGAACTACCCTTCTTCTTCTTTTTCTTCTGATGTAGCCTGGAATGTTCTTTTGACCTTCTGGGCCTCCTAAAGGAGAATAATAATAATAATAATAATAATAATAAAAAAAGAGGAGCTTGTCTTGATGGATTTGAGTACCACATATAGGATAAAACCAAGAATCTTCTAGCAAACTGGCAATCGACTATTGCATCTATAGAGGTTTCTCTCTCACAAATAAAACCGGGCAAAGTTCAATCATAAACATACAAATACATTTAATTATAGACCTTTTTGTTTCCTTGACGCTTAATTGAAGGTTAAAAAGAAGAGACCGATTATGATAATAGAAATTCTTTCCGTTATTCTCCAATTAAATAACATAACGATATTAAAAATAATATGATGTACTGATAAATTAAATACAATCATTTACCAAAAATACTAATTTAATGATTAATAGGATATATTAAAATTTCTAAATTTCATTCATTATTCCCCTTTATTCTACATTTATATATGTTATATACACACAAATTATTTCGTTAGTCCAATATTTTATCAAATACATTATCATTTTTTACAAAGAATTATAATATAATATCAATATTAATATTAAAAGATTATCAGTTAGTACATTTGATTAGCTGTTTTGTTTTGGCAAGATTTTAAGTTTCTTGTATCAAAATAGAGCAATACAGCGCAAATTTTCTTTATATAGAATGATATGAATGAAGATATGACTATAAAATTATTTTGTTTCTATTATTTATTTACAGAAATAGGAAAGTAATAGACACACAACTAGTTGCATAATATTATTTATTTTGTTTTTCCTTAATTGCTTTCTCTTCGGTTGTCGCTTCTTTTTCTTTTCCTTTCTAAGAAAACTCTCATCGATCAATTTGATCAAGCTGGAGTCAGTGGTTAAATTTATGAGATTTTATTTGATAATGGGCTAATTCAATTGCTGAAGCCAGTAGTAGTCTTCATACCCATACCCCTCTATGTTCTCAAAACATTAACTTTATTTCTATAATGACAATAACAAAAATAAAAATTGTCTCGTCTGAATCATTACAAATACTTTCACATTTTTTAACAAAATTATTACATTTTTCAGATTTTATGCATTTATACCTAAGAATGACAAAACGAGACATCCGAGTAGGTAGGTAAAGCTTTGAAAGGATGAAGGAACCGAGACAAAGAAATGAGGGATAATTTGGTCTTTTCATATAAATTAATGGTAAAAAGTTTGAAAACTACCGGAATGATTAAATCGTGGGTTAAAAACTTGGGGAATATATTTGATAAAAATAGAGAGTGACTAGTCATGACAGTTAATTTTAAAAATAATAATAATAAAAAAAATTACCCGACAATTTATTACCCTCCAGTAACACATAGACGAAGTACCCAACGACGTCAGATTATATAAATGGTATTTAAGTTGGATGTGAAGCAAAAAAGCAGCAATAATTAATGGTAATAACTAATTTTTGGTTAGAATATCTGTACATGCACCAAATTTTTATTTCTCTACGTAGTAATCTCACCGTTCCACTTTAATAACAAATATATATTTTACCTTATTTTATTTAAGTGATCATTTAGAATTTCAACACTATATTAATTATTTTTTTTTTCATTTTACCTCTATTTATTAAGTGTAATTTATTTTTATACATACATTTAAGAATGACAATTTAAACCTTATATCATGTTTTTTAGAAAATCAATGAATTACAATATTTTCTTAATTCTTATTATAAAAAGAAATGTTGCTGTTAAAGTAAAATAAGGGAATATAATTTTGGAGATAGTATTTTCTTATATGAAAGTATTTTCTTATATGAAAGTATTTTAAGGAAAATTTATTATATCTAATTAATGTCCATATATTAAATTAATAATAAATTATTATTTGAAAAAACTATTTTAGAGTATAATATCCATTTTAGTCGTTTATATATTTTTATTGAATTTTCTTTTTAGTGAAAAGATGATTATAATACGTTTTCTTTTGAATTAGGAATGGACAAAATATGATAAAAATCGATTTATCGAACCAAATTGAAGTTATTCCGTAAAAATGGTAAATGGTATGGTAATTGATTTGATAAGTTATTTAAAAAAAAAAAAAATAAAATATCGATCTATCAATTTACTTAAAATTGTGTCATTTTAAGTTTTTTTTTTTTTCTGAAAAAAAGTGAACCGTTCAATTCGATAAATCCATCGGTAAATGATAAAATTCAGTAAATTTTTTAATTCAATAAATATATAAATCGATTAATGCAAAGGGTGAAATGTGCATTTTTAATTTCAACCAAATGAGTTTATTAATTGATTAGATTTAGTATATATGGTAGGCTCCAGTACCAAGTACGTAGGGCATTCTCAGCCGACTACTGTATTTTAATTTTGATTTATTTATTTTCAATTATTTGAACAATCTCTGTAGAGGGGAAGCTCAAGCTTCTTGAACCTATACAAGAATCTCTCTCTCTACCTATAAAACGCCATTAATACCAAAAACTTAATACTAATATTTCAATTCCATCAGAAAATAAACGTTACTAATTGCACAGTCAGAAAGACCAAGACCTTCCATCTCTATCTCTCCTCTCTAATAACCACCATGAAGAATATAGACCATCAAACCAAGCTCATCAAGGGTGGCCAACTGCATCTTCATTACTTATTTATCTATTTCCTTGCTTTGGGTTGCAGTTTGGGCTTTGTTCTAACTGTTAGTTTTTATCTCAAAAACATTTCTTTCAACTGCCAATTCAATCAAATCTCAATCGAGAGCCAAATAACCATTTCGCCTCCGCCACCGACGATTTCACTTTTCTTACCAATTTCAAATAAAGCCACAGCTGGTATTGTACCTGAAGATGAAACAGTAAGTCTTACCGGGCTTATTTCAAATCAAACGATACCTCGTACTGACTATGTCTTGCATAATATGGCAGATAAAGAGCTGCTATGGAGAGCATCAATGGTGGCTCGTGTTAGTGAATTTCCATTTAAACTCACACCAAAGGTTGCGTTCTTGTTCTTGACAAAAGGATCTTTGCCTCTGGCTCCTCTGTGGGAATTGTTCTTTAAAGGGCATGAAGGGCTTTATTCTATTTATGTGCATTACAGTCCATCCTTCAATGGAACAGTGCCTGTAGACTCCGTGTTTTATGGCAGGAGGATCCCAAGCAAGGTTGGTCAATTTATTTCTTTTTCTTCTTCTTTTTTGCTTTTCATTGATAATGCATTAAGACAACGAAAGTATAACTCGTTTGGAAACAGAACCAATATCATGGTTTTCTTTTTCAAAATTTTTATCAATTATATGCAACATTTTAATATAAAACAATACAAAATTAAAAATAAAAATTGGATACTATAAACTCAGACTTTATATAAGAACAAGTTTATTAGTCATTAGATTATAAAATTATAAGTTAATGATATAAAATACAGTTTATAGCATCCTTAAAAATAAATGCCTAATTTTCTATTTATTTAATAAAATAAATGTTCTTCAAAGGCGTAGTTTAGTAGAATTTTAGTTTTCTTCTACAGGGATGGAGCCATAAGTTCATTATTTTAGTGGGCAGAATTCAAAAATTCCATTGTTTCAGAGGATCCCTTGCCCCTCTCTCCTCTGCCATTGTTTTTTAATAAATGACTCACCAAAATTGATGAGAAATTTTGGAAATGAAACTTCATTTCTCACATTTTAATTTAAATCAAGTGAATAACAACTAATTAGGTGTAATTTAGTTGGCATGAGTAAAACTATTAATTCCACATTTCCATGTATTGCCATTATTTAAGTTTTCATTTCTCAAAATTTAATTTTAAAAAAATGAATAACAACTAATTAGGTGTATTTTAGTTGGCATAAGTAAAGCTATTAATTTCATATTTCTATATATTGCCATGTATTTAAGTTTTCATTTCTCACATTTTAATTTTTTTTAAAAAGTGAATAACAACTAATTAGGTATATATTTCTTTTTTGGTAATAACTAAATAGGTATAGTTTAGTTGGCATAAATAAAGCTAATAATTTCATATTTCCATATATTACCATGTATTAAAGTTTTCTAACGGGAAATTCAGAATTTCCTTAGATAAAATTTTACACTGTATTCAATATATTTAGTTGTTATTTCAATCAAATGGTATCACAATTAGCAATTATATGGAATTAGAACTCCAAAATCCCAAGAAACGTACCATAAAAAATCACTCTAGATTTCCCAAGGATGGTTCTTACAGTAGCTGAGAAGTTTATTGGATTCTTTAGGGCCCAAACTTTTCTCTTACAGTAGCTAATGGTTCTTACAGTAGCTAGAACACTAGTTAATGCTATTGCTTCACAAATGCAGGAGACACGATGGGGGGAATTTACAATAGTGGAAGCTGAGCGCCGCCTATTAGCCAGTGCACTACTTGATTTCTCCAACCAATATTTCATTCTCCTTTCGGAATCTTGCATTCCTCTCTTCAACTTCTCCACAATCTACAATTATTTAATGGGTTCAGAAAAATCTTTTGTACAATCTTTTGATCTACGAGGTCCAGACGGTCGCTATCGATATAATCCAAGAATGAGCCCCACAATTATGCTCGACCAGTGGCGAAAAGGTTCTCAGTGGTTTCAAATGAAGCGTAACATCGCCATTGAAGTAGTGTCTGACCGGAAATATTTTCCGGTCTTCCAGAGATTTTGCAAGGGTTATTGTTATGCTGACGAACACTATTTGCCAACATTTGTTGGCATCAAGTTTTTGAAGAAGACTTCAAACAGGACCTTGACGTGGATCGACTGGCCAAAACGTGGGCCGCATCCAAGTCATTATGGGAGAATGGATGTTACTGTAAATTTCTTGGAGAGTTTAAGGAATAAGGGCCCATGTGATTACAATGGGAAGGAGAACAGTATTTGCTTCTTGTTTGCAAGAAAGTTCGTGCCTAATGCTTTGCCTAGGCTTCTGAGATTTGCTCCTAAGTTGATGAAATTTTAGTTGACCTCCCATGTGTTAGTGTTAATCTTTGTTGGATAATAAATTTTGGGGCACAACAATATTACTGTGTTCTGTTAATTGATTTAATTAGTTACCTTTTCTTATAGATGGTAATAAGCTCGTTAATTACAAAATTTAGATTTTAAGAATTATCTTGGTTTTGTTTTGACTTAAGATAATCCTGAAATTGTAGAGAGAAGACAAAATAATTATTAAAGAAGCCAAATGCAACAGACTAAATATTAGTAAGGACAAAAACATAGACCAAATGAATTAGACAAACGATATCACTGATATGGATAATATGCTTGGATGGATTTATCTTACGGTTCGGTTTTAGAAAAACCCATATTTTATGTCCGGTTGGATTGGTAGAGGATTGCATTTTGTTTTCGGAGTATAAGAAAAACTTATATATATATTTCAAAATCATAGAATTAGACATGTTATAAGAATAAAGTCCAATTTGCCACTTAAATTTGAAGAAAAAAGGCAGAATACATAGATTCACTTTATAATTTTCTAAAAATTTTTATTTTAATTTAATTATTACTTTGACCTATTGAATATTTTAATTTCACCTATTAAAATTATTATTAAATATTATTAAATATAAAAAGAAAATATAAAAAAATATCTACTGTGATAGTCGATGGTGAATCCATAAATATATATTTATAAAATTATAATAAATTTTATCAATATCTATAAAATGTTTTTCTTTTAAAAATGAGAAGTCATTGTCCTTATAAATGATTTAATTTTTTTTTATCAGAAAAATATTTTTATTGACTTATTTTTTTTAGTACATAAAGTATCGGGCGAATCTGTAAAGTATTTTCTGATGACTCACTTTCTAAATAAAAATAAAACTTAAATTATGTTTAAGAAATAAAAAGAGTTAAAATCTGTCAATCAGGTGATGGTCTAATTGATCTTCTTATTTATGTGAGGAGCGAGAGATCTCGACTTCAAGTCTTTTTCAGCACAATTGTTTTCACCAATTTAGTAAGTCAAGAGAAATATTATCTACGGTTATATAGCTCACAGTATTATTTCGGTCTATAAAAACCTTTTGATGAATTAAAAAAATGGAGTTAAACTCTAAAACTTTTATTCTAAGGTCGGCGACTCGACTCGAGACTAACCCACTATTTAGACTAATTGGGTCAAGATCAGCCCGGGCCCGGCCATAATCTTAAAAAAAGAAAAAAAGGGTCCCCAACTCTTTTAATGATTTGCTTTTCAGTTTTGATGACAGGCCTTGGCGGCATTACGAGTGTAGCGAGTGGTCCATCCTAGGATATTTTACACCTATATTGTAATTAATATTATGTTATATTTAAATTAATTAAATCAATGTCACTTTTTAACTATAAAAATTCAATTATTTTAATTTGCAACATTACACATTTAAACTACTTTTCTTTCCTTAAAAAGATAAGAATATTTATAAACCAGTTTATTTTGAAAAGTTTTTTCCTGAATACATTTTCAACAGTTAAATATTTTTCGGTTAGCAGAATTAATTTTATGATCGGGTCGAGTAATATTTATATAAACTCTTACAATAATATATAGCGACTTTAAATTTTAAACTTCTGAATTTGCATGTAAGTTCAATTTTCAAATATATTTATGTAGAATTAATTTTTAGTTAATTTATATTTAGAACATATATAATGATTTTATAATTAAAAATGAAAGGGAATGAAATTTTATTTTTTATTTATAAAAAGTAACATGATAAATAGTCCATTTCTAGCAATAAAACAGAGCTAAATAGAAATGGAAAAAGCCATCAGGGTATTGTGAAAGTACTAACAAACTTCTCGACAGCAAGGAGGATTCTTCCAGCGGCGCATCCAGTACACTGAATATTCCAACATCCCTCAACTTGATTACGTATCAAATTGGACGTTTTATGACGCTTGCAAATAAATTAAAAAACCACTTGAAAATTAAGATTATCGGTAATTTTTTATAATACACAGTAAATAATCATCATTTTTTCCTTTTCACCCATCAAGGCTAAATAGCCAAAATAATATTATTATAGATTTTAAACAACTCTTATTATTATAAAAATTAGAATTTAAAATCTTATGCTACTCAATACCTTAAAAGATATATATGAAGATTAATATGATCATATTTGACTATCATATGATTAACTAGATCATATCAGAAATGAATTCTTATGACTAGAAAGACTCAAGACTACCAAAACCAGTTTTTCTTTATAAAGGAGAGGAATGCTATTTCTTCAGTTTAGATGAAGTAAAAAAGAGAAGAACGCATACTCAAATAAATACTATTCTTTTAAGCCTATAGCTAGCTATATTCTACTGTGGAAAGAAAGATAATAGATATTGTTTGTGTCGAAAGGTTATGAATAGATTGGCTAGTCTTCTCCCAATATCTTGATTTTGAACGACGATGTACCGTAAATCCATATATAATATATGGTATAAGCTTAAAAAATTAATCTCTAATTAACAGTTAGATGAAAGATTAATCTCTTTCGAATTGAGATACCGACTTTACAACTTGACTATGTGAATGTTATTTATTACGCTTCATTCACTAAGGTAAATGGTTTATAAATAAGTATTTCTGGTTTAACTGATTGTGAATGTATTACACGAGAAGCATGTAATAATGTTTTGTTGGGGCTCCACGTAGGCTATAGGTACTCCTTCTTGGAAGCATAGTAATTGATTGACTACTTTCATCCGGCCAAACACTCAACATTTCTCCCAACTAAAGGAGGCTAATAATATATGCTGTTGTTATGCGTATCTCCCATTCAATCACTATTTGATCATAGCCCTTCATTTCACCTGCCTATTGACCAGAAATATATGATCAAAAGATCTGAAGGGAGATATTACAAAGACAAGATAAAAAAAGGTTGACTTGAATGGAGGTTGACGTCAAAGTCTTTTAACTCTTTACATCATGTAAGCCTAGGACGCCACGTTCTCTATCTTACCAAGCTATTTCCTTTATCATTCCAAGAAGGTTCTCTTTATTATTTTTTTACAAACTATTTGCTAAACTTTATATCCTTTATAAGCAATACACAGACAAACCCTAACTTCATCGTATTTCATTATTACCATCATCTCTCCCGAGCTCTAAAAATGGCTGCCAAACGTTTTTTTGATGAATCGGGTTCTGACCCAGATCAACCAACCGACAAGCGGTTACGAACTAGACCTTCTTTTGCTTCGTATGTCTTTAACCTTCTAGCTTAATTACAAATCTCTTTTTGGATCTCTCTCTCTCTCTCTCTCTGTGATTTCTGGATCTCTTTGATTTTGAGTCTTGGAGTCTCCGCTTTTTCTTATTTGCATTTCTTGAATTTTTCTTTTCTTTGGTACTGTCCAAAGTTAGAAAATGAATTGGTTTTTCTTTCTTTCTTTCAAAAGAAAAAAGACAAGAAAGTAAAGGAGATTGCACTAAATTGGAAAGAAATAAAGTCTCATTTTCTTTGTTTCTTTCTTTATTTATCTTTGCAGAGTAATTGGAGAAGCGGTTATGGTGAATTCTTTACAAAAATTCTGTTTGGCCTTAGAGCCAATGATTAGGAGAGTGGTAAGTTAATCTCTTATGCATATATCATTAATTCTTATATATTTATACAAGAAAGTATTAGTTGATCACATACAAACATACATTTAAAGTAGGTCCGCAATTTGTTATGTATATGAACCTTATTTTCTTTTTAAATTACTGTAATTAAACTAATTATGTAAACCCTAAAGATTATAATAGTATGTTCATCTTAATTCATCAAGGATTTGTTCATGTTCTATGCATGTTTGTAGGTGAATGAAGAAGTGGAGAGTAGTCTAAAACGGTTGTCATCCTGCAAATTCACTCGATCTCCTTCACTGCGAATCCAAGCACCGGAGCCTTCACCATCACGCCTACAATTAATCTTTGGGAAAAAGCTTCTAACTCCAATATTTACAGGAAGCAAAATCGTTCACATAGATGGCACTTCCCTTCAAATACTTCTAGTAGACAAAGATGGTGGTCGAATGATTCCTACACCTCTCCCTTACCCAGTCAAAATAGAAATCGTTGTTCTTGACGGCGATTTCCCTTTGGAGGATAAAAGCACTTGGACCAGTGAAGAATTTGACAACAAAATTTTAAAGGAGAGAACAGGCAAAAGGCCTTTACTGGCCGGAGATTGCTTAACGGTCACATTAAGAGATGCAACTGCACCAATTGGAGAAATTGAGTTTACTGATAATTCAAGTTGGATTAGAGGCAGGAAGTTCAGGCTGGGTGCAAGAATAGTTCAAGGTAGCTCTCATGGTGTTCGAATTCGCGAAGCGATGACTGAAGCTTTCGTTGTGAAGGATCATCGCGGAGAGTGTAAGTTTCTTCTACCTGATTACTTATATTTATCTGCTTATTTCTTTACTAAATGCATATATCCTATACATACACACTGCATACCGAATTCATCTTATTGTTTGTATGAATATCTCTATTTAGTTATGCACTAAAAATCTTATGTGCACATAAAATCTCAGATTTGCACCAATAAAATTTCAGATTTGCACCAATCAAAGTTTGCACCAATAAAAATCTTAAATAAAATAAAAGATGATCATATATATAGACACACACACATTGGCTTTGTTGTTATTTCTTTGTGATATTTCATGACTTAGTTCACTGTGTATAGATTTTCCCCTTAGACAATATGCATATTACATTTCTTTGCTTGCCAATTAGAGTAATATTTTGGTTTCATGCTTGCTAGACACTTAACAATTATTGGGAAATCAATAAAAATATACAATGATCATCAAATGGCTGCATATTATATATATTATGATCTATTTGCTTCTTTAAAATTATTCCTGCGTCTCTAATTAATATGGGTTGGTGATGATGTACGCATATATAAATTTTTGTCTCTGCCAACGATGGATTGCTTAAATAAAATAGAGAATCTAAGTCTTGAATCAAACTTTTTTAGTGATGAACAAATCAAATTTATTATTAATTTTCTGCAACAACTTGGGATAAATCATATCTATATAAGTTGCTACTTGCTGACTTTTCAATTATTTTATCTGTTCATCAAATTGCTAAAGCTTAGCTAATAATTCATATATAGGGTCCTACCCTAGCTGATTACTCTTGTTGATATATGAATTATTTGATAATCATTCTCGTTTCACTTGTTAATCATATTATAATCTCTAGGATCACTAATTTTTGCCATTAGTTCCCAATACATTATATTAAAAATATATAATTCCTTTTCTTTAAAAATTTTCAATGTATTTTTTTTTAGAAAAAGAACTAAATAATTTTTTAAAAATTTAATAGAAAATTACTATGTTCTTGCCTATGAATTGATTGTTGGTCTATCTTAGGAGATTAATAACTTCAAATCTTTCTTTTATATATATATATATATATATAAAACTTCAAATCTTAATATCCCCCTAAAAATTTTTGATTTATAATTAAAAAAGATAAAATTCTGATTTTGAGTATTTAATTAAAAGACAAAGTACATCACAAAACAAAAAGATTGCATTCAGTGCATATATTAGGACACATCCTTTTCATGCTTTAAATTAAAATAACATACACCAGCAACTTTTTATCAACAAAGAGCCATAAAATTTATTTTCAACATCGAATTATTTATTTAAGTTTCTTAAATAAAACAAGTACAAGTGTCCCCTACTGATACGATCTCAGGACCAGTAACAACCAAGTCTCCGATAATGACAATTGCTATCAATGATGTAAGGTCAATAAATGGTAATTTTGGTCACAGAATTGATAATATTTAATTAATATCATCACAAATTACTCCTAATATATAGTATATTTTAAAATTTAAAGATGAACTAGTAATAGTATTCTTTATCCATTCTAGTCAAATCCCAATATTTATTCAATTGGGATGAGATAAATTAATTAACTCTTTTTTTTTTTTTTTTTGCAATTGACCCCTGCTTCTCTTATAAAATTGTTTTTCAGAACATCCTATAAATTAAAAATAAAGCTTATAATAATTTAGAAATATAAAATATCAATGTTTATTACTATTTGAGTGAATGAATTCTTGGCATAATATATGCTTTCTAAACTTTTTAAAATTCAAAATTTTTCTCTTAAATCTTATTTATATTTTTTTAAATATGCATATTTGTTCTTCAAAACTTCTAAAAATTCAATTTTCTTCCCTTGAGTTTTCATGTTAGCCTCCTAATGTTCAAAGTTTAACTATATATTTTACTTGGGGTCCCCCAATGTTCAAAGTCTAGCTCAACCTCTCAATATTAGTATATATGTCACATTTTTTCGAACAATATATATTAACCTTTTTTTATATGTATATATATAAACGTAGTGTATAAGAAGCATTACCCACCAATGTTGGAAGACGAAGTATGGCGTCTTGAAAAGATAGGAAAAGATGGAGCTTTCCACAAAAAGCTAAATTCTGATGGCATTAACACTGTCCAAGACTTCTTGAAATTGTCCATTGTCGACTCGCAAAAGCTCAGGAGGGTAAGCAAATTAATTTCCATTCTTTCAATTTCTATACAACAGGTAACTCTCCCTAAATTGATAAAAATACTTGTGATCAAGAAGACTGAAACTCGAGACCTCTAACTCTTCACATAAATGAAAAGATCAACCAAATTACACCTGATTTACTACATTTTCCAAAATTCAAGTACTAAAATATTATAATTATGAATTTTGTATGTTTTGAACAGATTTTAGGTGCTGGAATGTCTGAGAAAATATGGGAAGCGACAATAAAGCATGCAAGGACATGTGAGTTGGGAAACAAACATTACATTTTCCGGGGACAAAATTGTACTGTTACATTGAACCCAATTTGTCAAGTTGTTAATGCCATTATTGATGGTCATACCTACTCTACTAGGGATCTTCCAACCATTAACAGGGTATGTGTCCTTATTTTACACAACTCAAATTTCTAAGTCCTTGTTCATTTTGTTCATCCATTGATTTTAGGTTCATCTTGCTTTATGTAGGGTTACATTGCAAGTTTGGTGAGACAAGCATATGCAAATTGGAACTCATTACAAGAGATAGTTGGAGTATCAAGTGAAATGGCTTTGCTGACACTCGGTAATTAATATGTCTATAATGTAACGGATTATAAATGCATCTCATATCTATATTTAAATTTATCCATAATTTTCAATTTATAAAAAAAAATCAGAGATTGAGCGAATCGAGCTTTTAAAAATTTAATATTCTTTAGATCGAGCAATCAAAAAAGTCATTTTTATCCGAAAATTAAGTAACTATTATTAACAAGATTAATTACTTTAAACTTGATATAGGTGAGCAAGCAGTGAATGAGTACCCGAGTCACCATCTTCAGGCCATGATAAAACCAATTCACGAAATTGGGTATTCAAGTGATGATAGATATACTGACATGGGGACCCAACTTAACACTAGTAGCACTGCGAATATGATGGGATACAACAACTGGCATAATATGGCTGCACCAATTAGTCCGACCATCGGTTATAGCATATCGGAGTCGTCGTCGGACGGTGAACTGACACCTCGGTCCTACATTAATCGCAACTGATGCTTGTTAAACTCTTAACTGAAATGTAAATAGAAATTAGGAGTTATAATTGCTCAGCTTGAGGTAGATAATAGTTTTTGATTTTCCTACGAGTATTCTATACCCTTTTTAATCTTATTTTGGAGCTCGTAGTTGTCTTTTTTATAAGTACTTTTTTCATGGATAGGATTTCTAATATAGCAAATATGTTCGCTGAACTCCAGCGTGTTTTATGACTTCAATCGCCACTTGTGAGTGAGGTTATTTAATTGTTCGATTGCTGTCATTTTAAATTAGTTATTTTAGATATATAAATATCAAATTAGTCAAATAAGGTGTCAATGAGCAATAGATCTAGGTTTGAATCTTCTTTCTCTTCTTCAGTACTGAAATAAAATGTTAACATATAATTACTATTAAATTGTTTTTCTTATTCAAACTGACAAATTACTTCCCCATAATTTACTTGAATTTGTTAAATGATCTTTTGTTGATACACGACTAGTGTGTTTAATAAAGTTTTTCTTTTTTTTTTTTCTTTTTTTTTAAATGATTTAATAAAGAAATAAAAATTAATTTAACCCCTCAACAATTACCCTTTTCTGTTAAATTTTAGCATTTAGAAAGATCGAAAAAGTCAGATTTAAACTTGCAAGGATTGCTTGTCACTATATATGCTAGTCTCAAAATTTGTCTTCCAAATAGTGTTGGATTGTTCTTGCTTCTGATTTATGAATAAAAAGTTCCTTTCTTCTCAAGAAAAAAAAAAGGTCATATTTGACCTTTTGAGCCACTTTAACTCTAAATTTATTTTGATTTTTATAAATTAATAAATTGATTCAATTCAATAGAAGTAGCTTTTCTTGTTCTGCTCTAAAAATGGTCAAATCAAAATTTTCCAATACTTCTTAGTAGAAGTTGAAAATGCATAAAAAACATAATTTCTTCTAATACGTAGTAAATTCATAAAATATGTAGTATAAATTTAATATTTTCAACATGAGAAATTCATTGGCTTCATGTATAATGAATCTAATAAGAAAGGTCAATTTTAAAATGTTTAAATTTGTACACATGTATGAACTCAAAATCATCAATTAAGGTAAAGATTAGATACATGTATCATTCTTCTATTTCATATTTAATTTTTTTAATAAATTATACAGCTTCTTTCAAACTATAATTTTAATAAACGAAAAATCAAGTGCTAAATTCAATCATTCTAAATAAGTTCATAAGTTAAATTAGTCAAAAATGTCAAATATGACCTTATCTTCCTTCATGTGCTCAGTCTATCTCCTCCACTAACCTTTTTTTTTTTTATTTTCTTGTTTTTCCTAAAATAATTCATTACACATCTTTTACTCTATTTACACTTTTAAATGATTTAAATACAACAGTAACTGTTTTACAATTCTATTTTTAAGCATTTTATACCATATAACTTAGAATTGAGAAATTCTTTGCATTTAAAGTGAACTACTTACATTTATGACCTACCAAATAAAAATAAATTATAAAAAATACAAAAATTACGGAGATCACCTTTTTAATTAGTGAAAATTTTTTTTTTTCATTTGTTTCAAATTATATTTTGATTTCTATTTTTCAAAGAGAATAATCCTATCAATTTTCTATTTTATGCATCTTTAATTTATATCAGGCTTGAACTATAACTTAATTTAGTATGTTTACACAATTAAACTAAGATAAAAGACTAAAAGTAGAAACTTCTATCTTGGCCTTCGTTTTGTAAAAGAAACTGAGGGTTCTGTACAAAATATAAATTAATCTAACCTGAAATTTTCTTGTATACACCGATGCCCTTGTATAACACTTTTAAAATTGAAAGAACAAACAAAAGAAAATATTCCATGTCTCTATGTCCACCATAGTAATCATCTACTCTTGTTTTGGTAATAACCAATAAATTGGTTACTCCAATATTTATGTTTTATTTATTTATTTATTTTTTACCATTCAATATTATATACAATGAGCTTGAACTTTTACACTCTGCGCGACGGCAGTTATAACAATTTGAAAATCCATTACGAGCAATACAATTCATTACAAAGTCTATTCGAGCAAGACAACCCACTACAAGTGTAAGGAATTAAATGTTACAAGAATTAAACATATCTCAATCTCATTTTGCCTTCATTGTTCATTCTGCTACCCTTTTTACCCTTGCTATGAGGAAATCAGATAAATTAATATAATATCTAATAGAATTTATTAAAATAATTCAAATGGTAAAACACACTTGAGTTAATGAATTTTCTTTACTATAATATTAGAGGGCTCGGTTCATAGAAAAGACATTCATGAGAATGCTCAAAAAATAAACAACCACAAACCTCGAAACAAAAATAAATATCATACCCTTCGAGTATATAAATATATTTTAGGAAAAAAAATTTTTTTAGCTCATAAATATGAATAGATTAGCAGCACTTTCCTCAAGGGTGTTATAGTAATTTTATCATACCAATTTCACTTCTTCCCTTTTTTTTTCTTTTTTAATTCTCAACTCGTTCACACTTCCCTACATTTGTCATTAGCAAGATTTGTAGCTCCAAATGAAAAAAAATCACCTTCTTCTCTTCTTGTTGGTGCTCTTCATCTTGTGTTACTGCAACAATGGCAGTGACGATCTTTTTACCAAATGTTTCTCTGCAAATTACAATTGTGGAAACATAAAAGGAATACAATACCCTTTTTGGGGTGAAGATGTTCCTGAATTTTGCGGCCACCCTGCTTTTCAACTCATATGTCTGGGCAATCGATACCCATATATCCAAATTGGAAGACAAAGATTCTTTGTTCTAAATATAAGCCAAGAATATTATAGAATGAAAATCGTTAGATGGGACTTGTGGCAAGATTCTTGTCCTGACGGTGAAAATCTTGAAGATGTTGCTTTGGATAATCGTCTCTTTAGTTACACTTCAACTTTCAGAAATCTTACATTAATGTATAGATGTCCTATGGTGGATTCAATTAAGAAATGTAATTTTACATGTAATGAAAGTCTTACAGGTGTTTATAATTACTATGCGGATGAAGTTACCTGGGAAACTCGAAAACCTGATCTTAAAAAGCATTGTCGAGCTCATTTGACTACTCCGGTGTTGCAGGCGGCTTTAGTTCAATTGTATGATTCATCTAGGACGGTTGATGAAGTTGTTAGTGAAGGTTTTGAAGCTGAATATAACGTACATAGACATGCTTGTCTTAACTGTCAGGACTCTGATGGGATTTGTGGTTCTAATTTAACCACACATGATTTTCTCTGTCTTTGTAAAGACCAACCTAAAGAAAATTCATCTTCTCCAGGATCAAGAATTATCTCTGGTATGTATTCTCGTAACCTTATTATCTGTGGAATTATCAGAATTGTCTCTTGTATAGTCTTTTTCATTTTCGAACTTGTAACTGAGTGAAAAATTACAGTTAGATTGTACAATCTTTAAGCTTATTTGATGCAACTTACATTGTTTTGCAGGCCAAAAACCAAGACTAAAGAAGTCTCGAATAGGCATTATTGCTTTTGCCTTAGCTGGAATATTACTTTTCACTGTCATTCTTTTCTATTTTTGGCGCCCCGGATGGATTATAGCATCAAATCCAACACTGATTGTTCCCTTTCGGCAGGTGAGAACTAACAAGAATATTGAGAAAGTGATTAAACAGTTCATTCTCCAAAACAATATAGCTATTCAGATGTAAAAAGAATGACAGGCTCGTTCAAGAATAAGTTAGGCCATGGAGGTTCTGGAAGTGTATACAGAGGAAGGCTGCAAGATGGTCGTCCTGTGGCGGTGAAGATCCTTAATGAAAATCTGAAAGGGAAACGGCAAGGGGAAGAATTTATAAATGAAATTGTTAGCATCAGTAAAACCTCACATGTTAATATAGTTTCTCTGGTGGGATTCTGCTTTGAAGGTCATAAACAAGCACTTGTTTATGAGTTCATGGCTAACGGTTCGCTTGAAAGGTTCATATATGATAAAAAAAGTTGCCTAGGATGGGAAAAATTGTATGAAATTGCAATTGGAATAGCTCGAGGGCTTGAGTATCTACATGGCGGATGCAACACTCAAATCTTGCATTTCGATATCAAACCTCATAATATACTTCTAGATGAATATTTTTGTCCGAAGATTGCAGATTTTGGACTTTCTAAACTATGTCCTAGAAAAGAAAATTTTACTTCAATGGAAGATGCAAGAGGTACTGTTGGATACATTGCTCCTGAAGTATATAACAGATGCTTTGGAAAAGTTTCGCATAAATCCGATGTGTATAACTATGGAGTGATGATTTTAGAAATGGTAAGTGGAAGGAAGAATGCAAATGTTATGGCGGAAAATAGAAGGAAGATTTATTTCCCACATTGGATCTACACTCGTCTGCAACTCGAAAATGATCTGGGGCTATGTTCTGTTAGGACCAAAGAAGAAGATGAAATTGCAAGAAAAATGACCATAGTAGGCCTATGGTGCGTACAGACCAATCCTTCACAAAGACCTTCAATGAGTCAGGTTTTGTTTATGTTACAAGTTTCCAGTGATTCACTGGAAATTCCTCCGATGCCTTTTAAAGTTTCTCCTCAAAGTTCATCAAGTAACTATTCTGCTGCTTCAGTTTAATGTACTCGAAAGAAGCAAAACTTAGGCACTGTAGAGGAGCTAACCCATTTCATTATAACAGCATCAGGAAATGTCAGCAAAAGAACCACCTTTTAGCAATCCAACATCATCTGATGGAATATCAATTTCCTCTGCCTTATCAATATTGTAATCCTTACTTTGAATCTCAGTTTCCAACACTTCTTCCATAGACGGTCTTAAATCCTTCGTGCTTTGTAGACAATCAAATGCTAACTCTGCCACTGCATTTGTCATTCTTGTTATTGCATAATCTGATCCAAATCCAAGGCTTCAATCAACAAGTTCATCTAGTGCACAACTTTGTATCTTATTGATGGCGAAACTAGACAATTTTATCTCGTGTCAATTCCCAGCGATTTCAACAGCAGGCAGTGATGATATAAGCTCAATCAAGACCACTCCAAAACTATAAACATCACTCTTATCAGTAAACCGGTGGAACTCATGGTACTCAGGATCAACATAACCAGGAGTTCCTTGTGGAGCAGCTGAAACATGAGTAACATCCAGTGGAAAGAGGCGAGACAATCCAAAATCTGCAACTTTAACATGAAAATCGTATTCAAGGAGAATGTTTTTGGTTTTCACATCACGGTGTATGATATCAGAAGCATGGAGATATGCTAATGCACAAGCTGACTCTACTGCAATTTTCATTCGAGTAGACCATGGAAGCCCACCAGACTTTGCCCTTTCACCATGAAGATGACCAAAAACTGTACCATTAGGAACATACTCATACACTAGTAACAGTATCCTACTACGGTGAGCGGTGGAGCCATATAATGAGACAAGATGTGTCTGGCGAAAGCGAGATAGGACCTCAAGTTCATTTATAAACTGCCTAACTCTCCTGTAATTGTTACCATACAAGCGCTTAACTGCAATTTCTCGCCCATCCCGGAGCATGCCTAAAGAGAAAAGATACACATAAAAGTTTTATTTAACATAATTCACTTAGATATTTAATGACAGTCTCTTCTTTTACCATAGTATACTGTGCAAAAGCCACCACCTCCAATTTCTCTAGCAGCGTCAAAATTATTGGTTGCAGCTTCTAGTTCACTGTACGGGAAGATAGGGGCAAAGAATCCAAGCCCTTTCTCAATATCTTCCTCTGAAGAAACATGTTCCCGTAAACAAACAGAAGAAGATGGACCAAATTGTTTCAATTTCTCTAGCAGCGTCAAAATTATTGGTTGCAGCTTCTAGTTCACTGTACGGGAAGATAGGGGCAAAGAATCCAAGCCCTTTCTCAATATCTTCCTCTGAAGAAACATGTTCCCGTAAAGAAACAGAAGAAGATGGACCAAATTGTTTTTTCTTGTGACGTAGATAGATGAACAAGATTACACATATTATGCTACAGTTGCAATAGCTGGCCCAGAACCTGGATGTAGAAGATGGGGAACGATTTATCATTCAATGACAGATTGATGTTCAAGCAATTTTTATCATATAAGAAAATAAGGAACAAAATAAGATATCAATTGGAGCATCATATACCTAAGGCAATTTTAAACGCAAATTTAGAATCAGTCCCGGACATTGTCAACAATAGCAAGAGATGAACAGGCAGCAATATTTGGTCTAAGAACAAATTATAAGCTCACCTACCCAGAACAGAACTCGAATGGTTTGAGAATCTTACTCCAGCTCAGTAATGAACTCAGCACCTTTAATCTCACAAACTTTGAACAGATTGGGGGATTTTGTGTTACTGTTAAGGAAAGAAGAAGCAATATGTTGCAGGAGGAAGATAGGTCAATCGTTGTGATACGACATGAAAATAGTTGTCCTAGTATTGTTTGATCCGTGAGTCAGAGTAAGCCCACTGAAAACATTCTTCCATATAAGTGAAATGTCCTGTAAATCCCTGACCTATTTATTAATCGAGTCGTGGCCTCATCGGTGTGACTTGTGAGGCGGAGTCTTCTCTTTAAAATTTAAAAAAAAAAAAAAAAAAAAAAAAAAAAGTATTGGAAAAGGAAGTTCATTTGAGTCACAATTTTCGCGATTTTTTTTTATTGATAGTGTAATGATAAAATTTAAAAAAAAAAAAAAAAAAAAGTATTGAAAAGGGATAGTCATTTGAGTCACAATTTTCGGATTTTTTTTTATTGATAGGTAATGATAATGATATGTAATTATAAAAGCAGAACTTGAATTTTTTTTTTTTTCATTTTGCTATTTTCATAAGCGTTTGAATTGATAAAATTACTCGTAATTATATATATTTGGCTCAATTTTATATCGGAATATCAAAAAAAGGGTTATTTAGTAATTAATATATGCTTTTTAAGAGTGTTTTGAATCTACCAAGATTTGATGCAACAATCACTACCCAGCAATGAAAAGAGCACAACACTATTCTACAGTAAATAGCTGCACTATATTATCAAGATATACAGAATTTATTTCTAAGATACATTACAGTGTCAGTTCAATGAATAAAGCAATATTTTTTTAACTAATATATAATCGATTAGTAAAAAGGCAAAAATCACCTAAAGAATAATAAGCAGAAGGAGAACATTAAGCATATAGAACACACATCTCACCTTCTCAAATCATATATATACATCCCTTCCAAGAACTGAAATTGTACTTGAAAACACAGTGAAAGAAGCAAAACTCAGCTACTGATACTAGCTGTTGAAGAATTGCTTATCCATTTTATCATAACAGTATCAGGAGAAAGTGGCAAAGGACCACTTTTCAGCAATCCAACATCATCTGATGGAATATCAACTTCCTCTGCCTTTTCAATATTGTAACCCTTATTTTGAATCTTCTTTAAAGTTTCCAACACTTCTTCCATAGATGGTCTTAACTCTTTCGCGCTTTGTAGACATTGAAATGCTAACTCGGCAACTGCAGTTATCATTTTTCTTACTGCATAGTCTGATTGAAATCCGAGACTTTGATCAACAAGTTCATCTAATGCACCGCTCTGTATCTTATTGATTGCCATATTAGACAAATTAATTTCATGCCGGTGCCTCGTGATATCAACAGCTGGCATTGATGATATAAGCTCAACTAAGACTACTCCAAGACTGTAGACATCACTTTTATCAGTCAACTGATAGCATTGGTGATACTCCGGATCGACATAGCCAGGAGTTCCTTGTGGAGCAGTGGAAACATGTGTAACATCTAGTGGAAAGAGGCGAGACAATCCAAAATCTGCAACTTTAACACAAAAATTGTTGTCAAGAAGAATGTTGTTGGTTTTCACATCGCGGTGTATGATATCTGAAGCATGGAGATAAGCTAATGCACTAGCAGTCTCTATAGCAATTTTCATTCGAGTAGACCATTGGAGTTCACCAGGCTTTGCTCTTTCTCCATGAAGATGATCAGCAACTGTACCATTAGGAATGTACTCATACACTAACAGAAGTTCACGGCTGTGGCGGGATGTGCAGCCATATAGTGTCACAAGATTTGGATGGCGTAACCGAGTTAGGATATCAACTTCATTCATGAACTGCTCAACTCTTTTGTAGTTGTTTTCGTACAGGCGCTTAACTGCAACAACACGTCCATCTCGAAGTGTGCCTAATTTGCAAGAAAGAATATTTGTGATCAATTGTTCATTTAAATAAGAATTGTCAATAGATATAAAGGCATTATTTTGAATTATTGTTTAAGCTGCTATTGAAAAAAGTACTAAATTGAGAATATTGATTATAGATCATTGAAGTAAACTTTAAAAACAACACTCCAAAACTCCTTTTCTACAGCATCTCAAATGACATTTGTTCTGGAAAAATAGTTTAAATTTTAATGCCAAACGGCCCAAAGTTTGTCCTTACCATGGTATACAGAGCCAAAACCTCCTTCTCCAAGCTCTTTAGCAGAATCAAAATTGTTTGTAGCCTCTTCAAGTTCACCATAGGTGAAAAGATGAACACCGAAGTAGCTACCTCCTTTCTCAACATCTGACTTCGAAGAAGAGTAATCTGATGTGTTGCTTTGAGAGATATAGGAAGATGGATTATATGCTTTTTTCTTGCGTCTTAGATAAATATAGAAGATTATGCATGTTATGATTACACTTCCAAAACCTGCTGCTACACCTGTTTGAGAAAAGATATGACGCAATAGATATTCTCAGTGACATTTTAGTGTGCAAGAAATTTATTTCTTTGCCATTTAGACATGATAAGGTAAGAATTTGGATAAAGGACCTGAGAAAATTAAGATGAAGAGGGAGTCGCTTACCAATACCAACTTTTAGTGGCACCTTTGAACTGTCTGCAATAGAAGAATACGCAGCAATGAGGTGTTACAACATTTATAAAACTAAAACAAAATAAAAATTAAACTTTGTAGGTTTTTTTAGGAGCAAGAAAGATTTAAGTATATATATTGAGATGGTTTAATGCTGCTCTCTTGTTGCTAGTATACTGTCATAAATTAATATTAATTGACAGCAAGATAGAAGCAAACATTGTACGTCAAGGTAAATCCTTTTGAAGCAGAAAAGGAGTATATGCTTAAAAAGTTCAATTTCACTTGATATGGTAAAACAGTCAACAGGAAATGTTGCAGAACATCAAAATGTCACTTGTAATAAAAATAAAATAAAATCCCACTTGATAAAATCATGCAATATTCAACACAATAGGAAATGAGCCAATGCAATCTATGGATGGACCCACTTATGTAGAACTGATAAGAATTTTTTTTTCTTTTTATAAGGATTTGGTAGAAGAAAGAGGGGAAAATCAAGAGAGAATTTGTGATAATCCGACTCGCCTGAGCTGAATTCTTCAACACAAAGTCACAATTTTATTTTTGAATCTATGGTTAGTGCAATAACTATCGAGAGTGACAAGCTCTAGACTTTGAAGAGGTCAAGTAACAGATCAAGTTGCAGTTTGCAGAAACTAGCCTATCCAATACTACTAAATTCCCAATTTATTAATAGTACCCTACATAGCATGAATCGACTTGACTAAGGATTGTTGACTAGAAAAATGCAGAATATTTTTCTAACCATATGATGCAAATTATGTCATCAATTAAACATTACATTTACAAAAATTATGCACTATGAATGAGTTTCAACTCAATGGTACTAAAGTCATCTCTGGGTTACGAGGATACAAGTTTAAACCTCATCCAGAGCGAATTTAACAAACAAAAAAAGTTATGTGCTGATTTTACTTGAAAAGCCAAAAATAATAATAATAATAATAATAATAATAATGAACAAAATCTACAAAATTACAAGCTGGGCTAGTTATGGCTATGTAAAACCAGTAATAACATTATAAGCTGAGAAATTGAAGTTACCACCATAACATGAATTTTGATAAGGCGAATTTTGATAAGGCCGGTCACGGCAAAAACAAACAAATTCATTATTCTCAAATCCACAGCGACCACCACTTCTTTCACAACTACTGCAATTATGTGCAGTCCAATTCAACATGAACCCCATCTTCAAATTATTCTCAAATCCACAGCGACCACCACTTCTTTCACAACTACTGCAATTATGTGCAGTCCAATTCAACATGAACCCCATCTTCAAAATCTCAGTATAATTCTTTTGGAATATACTATTTTCAAAATCGCCAGTAGCATGTAAAGGAGAGTTAACTAAGTAATGACATGACTCTAAAGAATAGTTATAATACAACTCTAATTCTTGAACATGAAAAGCGGCAAAAGAATAAAAAGAAGCATTAGTAGCACAAGTTATCGGGTAGGAAAAGAACTTTGTTGGCTTCAAAGTACAATTATACAAGAAAGAAAAATCAATATAATCAGGACTGATATTAAAAGGAGTTCTATCAAGAGTCACATTATGTAAAGGAATTGGACATGAGTCCTCCCCTTCTTCCTTATAGACACTAGCACTGGCCACAAGAAAAGACTGATTGTTGTAATAAATATCTTTAATGATATAATCATCATTAGGTACATAAATATCTTAAATGATTAATCATCCTTAGTAGATTTTAAGAACTGGGTAATCATCATCATACAAATATATCAAAAATTCGCGATACCCACAAAATGTGTTTTTTTGAAACTTGACTTAGGTAAAAAGAGCGTAATGTTATGATTAGAGAGCCGCATCCACTCGGCCCAAGTTGTGGTGTGCACAAGCTTGGGAAACTTTGATCTTCATTGAAAATGAGGAATGATAAGACTAAAAGTGAAATAGAAGAAGAACAAGCAAGTAGACTTATGAAATCCCATGGGAAGTAGGGAAGAAGAAAGAAGAAGGAGAAAAGAAAAGCATTTAGAGAAAGAAATAATATAGTAATCTTAGGTTTTAAGAATATGAAATGAATGATTGCTATAAAAGAATTTTGGTACTGTTTAATTTATTTTGGTTTGTAATAATTATGAAAGAAGTTGAAAAAGAGGAGAAAGAGCACTATAGTTGAAGTCAAAAGCAGAGGACAATGAGTTGCTCGAAGCATACTACACGTCTTAGAAGAATAACCATAACGTTGGTGGGGACACTACTTGGACCAAAATGAGCATTGTCACTACCAATAATTTTATAACGTAAATCGGGCGTGAAACTACTAGAATCGATGAAGCCCAAATTTTTGGGGAACATCTAAAGACTGGACGGTGACTAACCTGCTTCAGAGGAAAAGGTGAGGCCGTGATTGGCGCACAAACTGCTCAATGATCATGAAGCACAATTCAATGGGAGAAAGTTTTCCAACATACGAAAGAGAATGTGACACTGTGAGCAGCATAAATAAAAAATTCAAGAAATATGTTTCTGAAATTTTGACAAATTTAAGAAATATTAAATTTGGATAGGTTAGATTTTTCCGCCTATTCAAAACCTCTCAAAACATAGAATCACGAATTATCATATTTGTGTATAACATAATATTTTTCATTAAATTTTCTTAATATTATAAACAACAAAAAGAACAAGTAATCAAATTCAGTCTGTCAAATGCTGCCCTAGAGAATAAATTACAGTAAGACAAAGGTCCAGATCTCCAAAAAGGATAAGAAAAAAAGTCAAGATAAGGAGCCCAATTATGGGGTAATTTAATATCTAATGTTCTAAACAAACCTTCATTCAGCAATATAATGAACATCATGGCTGACTATAAATTTCTATAATGTTATGATTCTCTAAAGTCTAAGCCAGAGTAATATTCGCTGGCCATAAACAAGTTAATGATCAGCCACGGTCAAGGTAGAGTGGGCACTCAAGAAAGCAAAAGAAACTGGACAACGGAAAGACCATTATTGCCCAGCATAAAAAAATAGGATCGTTGAAGAAGGGAAGATTAGGTTGAGGGCATTTGGGATAATTTACATAAATTGAAGAGGCTGCGCCAGTGTACTTGAGTGTGAATGGCCTTTTTTCGGAATTGAGGACTTGGTTCTGTTGACCGAAAGTGTGGGAAAAAGAGCCTGTTTTTTCAATTTCCAACCCGTTGGATTTGGATTAAAGAGTGATTTGTCAAAAGCATTTGATATGAAGGATTTGGGATCGGCAAGGCGAATTCTCGGAATGGAGATTATCCGAGACAGAAAGTCCTGTAGGTTATGGTTATTACAGGAAAAATATATTGAATGAGTTATAGAGAGGTTCAATAGGAAGAAGATCAAGGAGTAGTTTATGAGATTCATTAGGAATGGAAGAAGAAGGAATAGGAAAATAAGCGCAAGCGTGACTGACTAGCTAACTGAGATTCGTTAGGAAAAGAAGCGAAGATTATGTGAGGGCATTTTGGGAAAATCTGAGATTGAAAGACACTGCTAGTAATTTGAGTGTTCGTATGATGATTTGGTTTTCCGATTTGCTGATTGCTGAACCGAAAGTGTGGTAAAAGAGCCCCTTTTTCCATTTGGAAATTCTTTTTAATTATTGGAATTGTGAAATTGAAATCGACATTTTTAAACGTATCAAACACTTGACTTTGAGAATACATAAAAATCAGACAAAAAGGGCAACTTCCAATCTCTTTCTCTTATTTATAACCTATGACAAGTCAAAACTCAAAAGTAAACGAGGAGTGAACTACACGCTCAACTACACTTGTCCAGGAATCAGTGATGTATTGTTCGGCTTTTTTGACCAGTCAACAATTTTTAGCTTTTCCTTTTGCTATAATCTTGAGCTATAATACTGAAGAGAACATAAACAACAACACCAATGATGTTTAGGCGTATAATCCAGCTAAGACGAATTATTTTGGATTGATTATTATTGAAAAATTAGACAATTTATTTATAATCTCGAGTTAATATTTGAATGAGCGTGAGTTGAAATTCCAAGTAATGAATTGCTCAATTATTTAAAATTATAACGCAGTGAACAGATTGATAAATTAATGGCAAAGAGAAAGGAATAAGCGTACCAACGTTAGGACAATTCATAGGATAAGGACGATCATGGCAAAGGCAGGTGAATCTGGAAGTAGTGGAGTTGGTACCACAAATCCCACTTGAATCGCTACATCTCTCGCACATTTCATCGGGCTTGTAGACAACATTAAATCCAGCTTTCAAAACTCTCTCAAAATTTCGAAGCCCGTTCCAAATAATTTCGATACGATATGCAGAAATCGGGACCTGCAATTCGATGTTACAATAGTTGGAAAGGTGGTCTATCTCCCACTCACCAGTCGCATAATATGCAGGCCTTTCTTCTCCATTTACATCACATGAAAATCTGTAGTTTGGAAAAGGAGGTTTTTCCGCTGAGCAATTGTAGAATAGAGTAACGTTTTGAACCTCCTGTTCATCTAAAAAGAGAGCATTGTCGATAGTAATCGGACGAATTTCAGCGATATTCACCGGACAAATACTTTCAAATAAATCCATTCGAACGATTGTAATCGTTATTCGTCCGAAGTCATCAACGGACAGTAACCGAAAATCTTGATTTGTGATACTTAGAACAGGAAATTGATCTTCTTCGCAGCGGAGCTTAAACCTTTGGTCACCACATATTTTAGACCTTTCATCGCTCCAAAAAGGATAATAAAGACCATGTAAATTTCCACATGAAAAGGTTTTCCTGCACTCTGTATAGTGCTTATCATCTTCACAGTAAGATGATGAAACAAAAAGTAAGAGAAAGAAGAGGGTGATCATGGAGTGTACATGGGATGGCAAGAACAGATGAGTATCCATTTATGTGTTTTTTTTTTTTTTTGTCAAAGAAGAAAAGAAGAAGATGATAAGTAATAATAACAGAAACTAAGGAATTGAAGAATTAAATATTACAATATTAAATGCAAAGTGATTATATTTATTTTGTTTGCTTCGATTATGAAGCACGAGAAGACATTTGACTAAGACTTTTGTATTAAGTAAATGGAAATATAGTTTTGATTCTGTTTGGTAGAAGATGATGATGGCGGGCGACAGACGAAAAACAAATTCTAATATTTGACCGTTTGAAGCTGCTGGGAAATAGCTTACAAAGACTATAAATAATCAGATTGTACTCCTTTAAACTCACAATCTTATAGTTGTAAAAGTTAACTTTAATAACCCATAAAGAACGCTGAAACAACGAGCTAGATTTGAATTCAATGAATTATCTTTACAAAGTTAAGAGTTCCATTCATGAAAATAATACTTATGAAGACAATTAGTTAAAAACTCTAAACAGAATTACTCTCTTACCCAATAGTTAAAAAAAAAAAAAAAAAAAAAGAAAATGAAATGTTTCAATTAAAGAAGGTGAAAAGATGTCCAATTGGTTGGTTGGTATTGCAAAAAGGAGGAGAGGGGAAAGAAAAAAAGTTTGTTTAGTGGTAAAAAACTATGTAAGGGTCTTTCTTCAAAAAAAAAAAAAAAAAAAAAAACATATATATAAAAAAAAAAAAAAAAAAAAAACATATATATATATATTAACGGTACGTGCGGTAAAATTAGTTATTTTGGTAACAAATGTTAATATTTTATAAAAAAACTACCTTAACCTCTAAAAGCTAATTCAAATGTTATATTATCGAATACTATAAAAAATAACGTTTAACATTTTAACTAAACAAAACCTTAAAAATTACTTAAAAAATTATTGCGGAATATCACCTAAGTTCGATGTTGCTTTGATAATAATGAGCAGAGCTCATAAACGTTTTTACAAATTGAGTTAATAATCCTTAGATCAATTGACTATTTTGAAGTCAAGTCATAGCAATTTCTATTAATTGTTATTCATTTATTTGTTAATTTATTTATTCTAATTGCTACGATTTAGTCTAAAAAAACAACTATCTTTGAAGAAATACTTTCAATTTCTTTTTAATAAACGAGCAGGGTTATTTTTGAGCTAAATTTAGCATTAGAAACTAAACCTATTCTCCTATGTGTTGATGCTCTCAAAAACATTTCAAATATTCTCCTATATGAGTGCCTCATATGTGCCACATAACAGAAATATATCTAATATAGATTTTATGTATTTCGATTTTTAAATTTGATACGTTAACCGTTGAGACTGCGAAAGAGAAAAGTGATAAATCTAAAATTATATAAAAATAAATTATTTAGCTGATGTTAAGATCACAAATCAGGGATTCTAATTGTTTATATGAGAATAGCGTAATGGTGTTTGGAAGAAGAGAAAAGGAGAGAGAATTGAAGAATAGAGAAATGGAAAGTGAGAAAATAGAAAAGAAAGGATGTATATATTCATTTATTCATTGATTTTAAACATCTCAATACAAGATTATATATATGCCTGTTGATGTGATGCACAGTGAGCTAAATATGCCAAATCAGCTTACGTCTCAGCAAAGCACTAATATCAATTTAGTATATTATTAAACAATTAATATATTGTTCTAATAGAGGAACCACGGTTCACAGATTTAGAAACTTGGTGGATGGGTGTGTTTCCCTTATTATGAACAGGCTTTGGAATGTGCATTCGGCAAAGATCTTTAAATATATATATATATATACTTCCAGTTGTACGCACATCATCTAATATTGTAAAGGGGTATTTTAGAAAAATTAAATAAAAATATAATTTAACTATACTGGAGACGGGTCATGATTCGTGATTAAAACGGAAAATATGTGGCCACAAGTGACTTCCTGACCTAGAAAAAACTCACACCAAAACAGGGATTAATTCTTCGTAATTTATGTGAAAATCAAATTAGATCTACATATAGGATTGTCAAAATGGACTTAAACCCATATATAGTTCGTGTTCTTCCGTAATTTGTTCGGATATAAAAAAGAAATTGAGACCAATTTTTAAAACAAGTTTTTTTATTCGGCCCGTCTTTTATCAAAGCTTGTGGAACTCACTTTAAAACAATATATGTATCTATATATCATAAAATTTTAAAATAAAAAAGAGAATAACAATTCAAAATTTGTATAGACCTTGCTTCTCTCTTTTTTTCCACATTAAAAATCTTTGAATGGACATACAAAGCCAATAAAAATCCAAGAAATTAGTAAAGTTAGAAAAATAAATAAATAAATAAACCCCCAAAACGGACATGGTCGGACCCATTTGTGGCCCAAGCAGACCGGATTGGACTTGAAAATTAGGGTCCATTTTTTAAAGCTCGGCTGTTTTGAAATCGAGTAGGTGGTCCGTCCATTTTTTAACGAGCTTTTTCGGCTCGGCCTTTTTGGAATCGTGTACGCCGGTTTTCAGAATGCTACCTCTACTTATATATATATGGGGGATAGAGACAGTAACTCTAATTGATAGAATAACTATAAAATAAAATCTATGTAGCTAAGATGCCAAAATTCAAACAAGCAACGAAAGAGGAAAGCCGAAGAAATTAAACGAAGGGCCTAATCTATGGGCTGCCGCTATGGGCCAACCATAAACTTGAACTCTATGACATTTCCAAAGAGACCCAACAAAAAGTAATAGTATTAATAATAAATTAATGAGAGTATATTGGATTAAGAGTCTCTTAAATTTTAAAATTTCAATGATATTCAATTTAGATTTTTTTAGAGTATATTAAAATTTTGTGGTATTCAATTTAGACTATCATAAAATCCATAAAAATCTGATGGTATTCAATTTTGACTTTTTAAAAGTCCATATAAATTTAATGGTATTCAAAAAAATTACTGATTTAAAAAAATTCTATAAAATTATTAATTTCGTTGGATTTAAAAGTGTTATATACGAATAAAAGAGTCATTCACAAATTCATTTTTCAATCCAAAGATTTTAAAAATCTTTTAAAATCTAATAAACTCTTAATCTAATACACCTCGGAGCAAGTACCCGTGAATTTTAAACTACATGTATAAGTATCTGTTTAAAATTTTATTATCCATATCCATTCTAAACTTATTTAAATACCTACCCATATTCGAACTCATTTAAATATTAACTACCTTATCCATCCAAAAATCTATTAATTTTAATTAGATATATAAAATTCCTTGTGATTCCATCAAAGTCAATCAAAATCTATTAAGAAAAGTTCCATCAGTACCATACAACTTTATGTAGAATTCTAGTGGAATTTATGCAAATGTTAGGAAATCCTTCAATTTCGTTAGACTCAATAATTTTTTTAAAATCTAACATAATCCTGATTCAATGCACCCTCCTACATGTTGAAGTGGTAGGCTGCAATTGGGTTTTAAACGTTTCTACAAAATTGAATATTCAATCAACTCAAAATTCTTTTGAAAAAGATAATCACCGATTCTAAAATGAAATTAGTCTTATATATAATTAAGTGACGAAGACATCATAGAGGTATCCATATTTTGTCTTCAAATATTTTCATTATAGAAAATAAGGTTGGGAAAACAAACCATCAAATCAAATGGTACAAATAAGGTCCTATGCTTTTTTTTAGTGCTAATAATTTTTTTAAAATCTAACATAATCCTGATTCAATGCACCCTCCTACATGTTGAAGTGGTAGGCTGCAATTGGGTTTTAAACGTTTCTACAAAATTGAATATTCAATCAACTCAAAATTCTTTTGAAAAAGATAATCACCGATTCTAAAATGAAATTAGTCTTATATATAATTAAGTGACGAAGACATCATAGAGGTATCCATATTTTGTCTTCAAATATTTTCATTATAGAAAATAAGGTTGGGAAAACAAACCATCAAATCAAATGGTACAAATAAGGTCCTATGCTTTTTTTTAGTGCTTTCTCAAATAAAAATAATTGGGAAAAAATTAATCAAATTTTAGCTTGGGGGAATTCTCCTGTCTTTTACACAAATTAATCATTGTTTCTTTTACTTTTTAATTTTCATCAAATTTTTCTAATGTAAAATTTATCTATATCAAAGGAGAAAACAAACAAAATAAATAAATAAATAAACATATATGAAAAAAATATAGTACTATAAATAAGCAGGTACCTTTGTTGCAATTGCTTCGTACGCTACAAAAGCACAAAAACTGGTCTGCAACGTCATCATACCCACAAAACCCACCGCGAGCTTCACATCCACCGCAATCTCTAACAGTGCTCCAATCAAGTACGAAACCTTGGTTCATAGCCCCACCAAACCCACTAATCAAACCACGGTTTCTAATCTCCGTAGTCATCACCGTCACCACCACTTTCTCCTTGCACCTTCCGTTCCAATCAACGTCTTCCATCCCGCTGCCTCCTATAACAACATAGGATTTCAATGTATCGAATCTCAAACACTTAATATCCCTCATAGGATTGGAAAAGGGATTGGTTGTGCAATCAAAGTAAAAGGTCAGATTGGAATCTGAATTTGTGTAATTTAGTGGTAAATCTTCAAAAGTAATGTTGTGGCGAGCCCGGGGACATTCTTGGCCGGCTGCGTCAATATCGACGAGTGTTATGGTATTACTTGTATAGTTTATATTTTTAACATAATAATCATTTTTTTGTAAGGGAAGTATAAGCTCATCATTAGAACATGAAATACCAAAACCCCGATACCCACAATATTGATTTGGAGTTGTGGCGCTCTTATACCAGAAGGGATACTTAATCTCGACGCTATTTCCACAGTGGTGCGTAGAGCATATGGATGGAAGATTAGCAGAATTGACCCCAAAGCATATCACGGAGAAGAAGAGGAGGAGGAGGAAGAAGAAGAAGAGAGGTTTTGACATGGAACTAATGTGTTTTGAAATGAAATGGTATTTTGGTACATTAACTAGTTAAGTTTTAGTTTTATAAAGAGATCAAGGTGTGAAATTACACTAGTCTCCTTCCTATATAGTATTTGCAACGTACTTTATTATTTCTATAAGAAGTTATTTAATTATTGAATTTTTTATTTTATAAAATATTGTTTCTATTTTGTAAATGCTTTTAGATTTTTAATAATATAAATTTTGTAATGCTTTATAGAGTTTTGATGAGTAATATAGTAATTATATATCTTCACATCTTAATAGTATACAAGTAGATT